AACTTTGTGTGAATGGGGAAGGTTAGGTCCAGCAACTCTTGAGCAATTAGGGTTAAAGAAAGAAACCTTGCACCAGCTTACAGACATTGAAATAGAACTCAGAATTTTTGCCAAATTTGGATCTTTTGTGTAATCTTTTGCCCTTCAGTGTTACTTTGCACTCAAACAAAATCGTCTCGCCAACTCCAGTATATTATTTACTGGTAGACACAAAACAACAGAGGCACCGTGGTGATCTGCACGTGATCTGTACATGATGTGTATACTACATGTGCATTTGTCGTATGTGGTGTTTTCAGTAAGTTCTTTGCTCATGTGTCTCCCACAGCACATGTTGGCTAAGCATGTGAAACGTCATGTTAAAACATCTTAAACTAGATTCTGACTATTATTAGTTGGGGTCAATGTTCACTTCCAGTTTCACCTCTGGACCCTCCCTTTAAGTTTAACCATGGAGGATGCTTTAACTGTGCTGTTAACATAACGGAAGTACTGTACGACATGTTAGCAATGGAGAGGTCTTGGATTGTCCAATCTCCTGGCAGTGTGGGAGGAAACGAAGGAATCAAGGTGTTATCTCCCGATCCAGACTTGACGACCCAGCCCACGGGGGCTTGAGGCAAGATTAGAAGGTTTTTTTTTTTTCTTTGCGGGTGATCCCCAGAATCACGAGGTTGGCATTAAGGGGCCGGAACTTCTCTCTCTCTGTTTTGCGCAAGCGAGGCCAGAAACAGCCCAAGCGGTTCCTGTCTGAGGGGATGAACAGGAGGTAATCGGAGGGTAATTTCCTTCCTCCATGACTTCCACGGCAAAATATGCGGGCTTGGGGTTTTTCACTTCAAGCGGCTGAGCACTCTAAATACTATCTGTCAAACCTTTGCTAGATCTCTCTCTCTCTGTCTTTGGATGGGGGACAAAAACTGCCATACAAGTTCTTTCTGTTTTGGTTCGCTTTGTGTACGATGAAATCGTTGAGCTCTTGCATCTGGTCCTGGTTGGGGTACAGGCAGTTAAATCTTGTGAAATGTACATGTACAATGTACATGTATTTGAACATTGCACCTGTTTTGTGGAGGTTGCCTAGTACATGGTGTTTGCTGAACTCAAAGTGTGTATGTGTACATGTAGTTTGTTTATGATTTTATTTTGTTTTGGGGACTTACAATATAGGACTCGTTGAGCAGAAGGGCAAATTTCAGCTTAGCGTAAAAAGACCTGTTTTTCTCTTTGAAGTGCCTGAACCGAAAAGGCCATCTTGGTAATGAACTTACCCAGTTTCCTGTATTCCATGAGTACTCTATATGAGTGTGGACAGAAACTAGAACTGTGTTACAACTGCTGGATGAAAGAAGCTGCATTTGATTTTGAATGACTTGAGGCTGATTCCCCTTCACCAGTTGTTTTTGTTTCAATTTTTCACATTTTTTTCCCTCGTCAACAAAATTTTTCGGTGATTTTTCTCAGCAGTACAATGCATGATCTTTACACTTGACTTGTACTCGTGTATATCAAATTATCAACCCTGATCTACAATGCCCACTATGCATGTACATGTATGTGTACTGAAAGGGATTCACTGTCGTCATCATACTGTGTGATGTGTTAAGATCGGGGTATGCATACATGTACGTATTTGGTTGAAATAATCTCATTAAAAATTCATTTTAGTAGCATTGCCTCTTGTCGTTCACTTACTCAGACTGGATTTTGGTACTTTTTGTGTATTACTGTGTTTTTATTTCACAGTAACTTTAATTTTAAAAGTAACTTGTAGCCAAAGGGTCACAAACATTTTATTGTACAGAGAATAGGGGCCTACAATTGACATGTCGCAAAATGTGTGTAAAACCTTGTAAATAACATTTGAAAAAACACTAAAATGCATCATAAAAACAGCACTGAAGGATATTGAAACTCACACTGTCACACACACAAACATCGTACAAAATACTTGTGGACCACTGAAGTCTTTGAACAGTTCTACAGGCCTCATAAAAACACTGACAAAAGTGCAAAGATTGTTTGCATGGGCAGTCAGAAAAGCACCTACATTTACTGTCAACACTTGATCCCTGTGGCTATAACCTAACCGACATGTAGCTTATACTTCATATTGATCATTGTGCCTGTCTTCTGAATAGAAACCAGAACTTGCTTACATATGCACATATGTACCAATATACAGTGTACAATGTCTTTAGGCCCACTGAACATGTACTGTAGGTATACCTGGTTGTGATTTCAGATTTAAACCAGAAGCTTTTGCACGTGTAAATATCTACAGCTTGACCTATGGTACATGTATTGTACAAACGTACTTCCTTGAGCAAAACTGTAGGTTCTGGTGTGGGATTTCCATTTGCATGTACATGAATACCATATGCATGTATTTTGCTCTTATTACATGTACATGTATGGTACATGTTTATTTTACACCTGCATGATGAAATTTTGCACATGTCCTCCCAGATTGCTAGCTCATCAAACGTGGAAAATCAGATCCATTAATTGTTACAACTTAATTTTAACTTCCTGGTGTCTTTTTACTAGGCACTGGGTCAAAACCACCAAAATCCAGCACTGTCTGTGCAGTCCATGTTGCTTGCTAAAAAGATGACCACTGGCATGATGGTCTTTGTTGATGGACCTGCATATTACGTAGTACATATGGCTTGCATGACATCATCAGTTTTGTTGCCATGACAGCATGATACTGAATGCCCTGGCAGTGCTTCAGGCTTCCTGGACCAAGTCCATCATAATCCATCGACATTTGGTCACCTCAGGCCTTCTGGACTGAGTCCATCAAAACCCACCAAAAATTATGGATTCTGAAGGATTTGGGATGGCTAGAGTTAAGGAATCTTAGTCAGTGGCCTGTTGCCAAACTAAAAGTTGCCTCCTGTGGCTTCAACACGAGCTTCACCCTCCATTTCCAACCGTTGCCATTGGAACCACAGGGAGATTGCTAGATGCCTCTGCAACAGAAAATGGAGCTGCATTGAGCTCCAGGTTCTCAAGCTCAGGGGACTATGAATCCAAGAAACTAGAGCCACAAGCCAGACAGGGCGATGAAGTCAACTGTTTTGACCTGCAGGCCATGCAATAAGAAGGAACTTCCCTCCCACAATCTGGCATTTCCTGTAAAGTTCAACGAATGGAGGGACGAGCCTACACTGCATGAGTACAGTGTGCTGCCGTCTCGTTTACGGTACACACCCATTTCCTTGGAATGGCTTGTTGATTACATTTTACCTGTACTGTGTACCTGTGACAAACCACAGAATTGGGGTTCTCCCCACTTCGCCCCTTTGGCCATGAAGAAAAATAAGTCTTGTTTGGAGGTTCACATTTACTCCATTTACATTGTCCTCATAGATACACTTTTGAATGTCGAAAAAAGAATTGGATCTCATTGCTTTAAAAAGTCAGCGCTGAAATTATTTAGCTCGCAAAATTTCTTTTGTGTCTTTTCCTTGTTGAATCCCCAGCTTTTTCTAATTTATGATAAATGAAAAATTCAAAATTGTTTCACTGGATCTATTATTGGCAAGGCCCAGCAACAGGTTTTTGGGTGGTTGTGGCTTTCTCTTGTTTTGTGCCTGAATTATCCAGCATATGCTAGGCGGCTATAGGGTTGTAAAACTTTGTTTCGCTGACCCCAGGTTATGGCATTGTTCTGTTGTTTGCCTCCCTTGAATATCCTTCATGGGCCCTGTAGGTTTTACCATTGCAATGGCTCTGTAGGTACCGGTAGGTACTCAGCCATGCGTAGAAGGACAGAGGTATTTCCATCACAAAAAGGATGTGGGTATAAAGTACATTGTACATGGACATGTGTACATGTGCCTGCCTTGAAAAAAAGCTCAGTGTAGCTTTATATGTGAATGTGCTTGTTTACAGTTTCATGGGATTGATTAGAAACTTTCAGTATGGTTGGTTGAAGGAAACATCCAAGGCCCCTCAGCTAGCAGATATGTAAATATGTATAACCTGTGTTATGTAGTATTTTATGTACCACTACATGTAGGTTAGACATTGCAAAGTAAAATGTCACTGCATATCTTGCCAATTGTTGTTCCCTAATGAAACGTCCATTTTTCAAGAGGTAGAGTATTTATTATTTAACCTTTTTTCTCCTGCAAAGGTGAAGTTGCCTAACAGTAGCATGTTTCCTGTATCTTGGTGCCTGATGAATTACTTGCATGTAAATTAATCTTATATTTGTATACGGCAACTTGTTTTGTGTGGTTAGAACTTCTGTGAATGTGTAAGTATTCAGATTCCAATATAAAGGGCAAAATGCTCTGGGTGCGTTGAGTTGATTGTACAAAACAGCTGGATTGTTTTAATAGTGTTACAATTATTACCGTGTAATGAAATAATGAGCGTTTAAATGGACATGCATATTCATGTGCCGTAAGCACTTTATCACATTTGTAAATGCCGTTCAAAGTTATGTTGTGTTACATTTATAATTAAGCATGGCCAAAGTGATCTTGAATGGTCTTGATGAGATTTCAAGGCAAAATCTCTGTTGCCCAATAATTTTGACTTGTATCGCTGAGCAGTTAATACTTAATGAAAAGTAATGAAGGTCTTGGAAAGGTCCGAATGTTGAGACTGACGCTCAGGGGACAAGAACTATCAGAATTGGATATTGGAAACCGCTCAAAATGGAAACGACAAGCAGAAAAGCAAACCGTAATGATCCTCTCTTGCTTGACAGTGGTCGATAAGATGTCCAATACCATCCAGATTGACCAGTCTACCTTTGAGGCACTGCCCCGCACCCAGCGCCTCAAGCTGGCCAAGAAGGCCCGTCAGGAGCAGCTGCGGCAGTACTACGCCCGGGAACGAGAGGAGCAGCGCCGGGGGTCCGCAGGGGACGGCGGCAGGGGCACCCGCACGCCCAACAAGAAGGGCACCCAGGTGAACTTCCAGCTGGCCCACCGGCTGCGGGACGCGGCCACCAGGTTTGACATCAAAGAGGGTGAGACTTGTTGCACCCTTTTTAGTTCATTCATGGTGTCGGGTTTTACTAGATTTTCAAGTCGGGATGTGTGCCGTTTAAATAATTCGCCGATGAATTTCAGTATGATATCACTAAAGACTACATGTATTGAGGAATAAGCCTTTAGTGAGTTAAATTTGAATCAAATCTGGTACAATGAGTTCTTTAAATTCATGTGAACATAACAATGTGAATGCTCCTTACTAAAGACACTGTTGCTATACCTTGTGATCCGGGGCAAGCTCTTGCGTAGTTATATGTACAGACGAGATGCCTTGCACCAATACACTGTTTTTAATGGATAAGAAGGGCACCAAGGAACCTGTCCATTCCAGAGATGGTAGTGGGCTGTGTAAAAGCTTGCCCTGAGTGCATAGCAACAGTGTTTTTAGTCTGGGGAAGGCAAAATGTTGTTAATGTGCAATCAGGGGCCAATTTCTCAGAGCTGCTTGTTAAGCACAAAATTTGCTTAAGCGCGAAAAAACCTTACTTGATAAATCAGGTAACCAGCCAGAACTCCACATGATGTACATGTATATTGTTTTGGGATGTATTTAGCTGTCTTTTGGTTAGCATGACAATCAGATAGAGTTTGAGCTGGTAATTATCTTGTTTTATAAGCAAAGTTTTTTCCCGCTTAAGCAAACTTGTGCTTAAGCAGCTCAATGAAATTGGCCTCAGATGTATATTCAGTGTACCACAGTTTATTCAAATTTAAGTTGCAAAAGGCTTATTAGCTTACAGTTTCACTAGTTACATAGGCACCATCTTGAGGGTTGTTTTGGGGGGTCAAACACCCCTGTGGTCATTGCCAAATGTTTGTTCCTTTTCTAAGGGACCTACTGGTAGGTCTGAAGGTTGGAGAACCACTTACATGCAGAAAGCATATACCGTACGATGTAGGGGTCTTAATATACTTGTGCAGATAAGGACAAAACAATGATTAAATGACTTCAACATTGGTGACAACTACATAAACAGGTAGTAATTAACCCCACACACAAACAATAATTTCTCAAATGTCCCCCTCCAACAAAAATGCTGGGTTGGCCCTTGATACAGTAGCTGTAACTAATCTTCTACCAGCTTCTGTTTAGATGAGGCCGAGTAGAAATAGAAAGTAGTTTCTCGTCTCCACCTGCTTTGTTTTTCCGTTCCCACATTCCGGTGGAGGGGGGTACTAGTACTTTGAGAGGATAGATTTATGACCTGTTACGACAATGTGAGAGTAAGGTCGCATTTCGCTCTTTCCTATTTTGAGGGTTCAAAATCACATTGAAGTGGAGGTCAATTTTCAGGTTTTGTAATATTTGGAAAGAGTAATCCGTCTCCTATTTAATTTTAAATATTCCACAGGATCATATATTGAAAAAGGTCATTTTCTCAGCAATTTTGACATAGCACTGTTCGTGCCTGGTCTGACGTAGTGAAAATACGCTGGGAACAAATACGCAAAGCTGCCAGAATAATGTCACATTGTCACCTGATACTTTTACCCGAAGTGTTCCATGTGTATACCATACCAGTGGAAAGCTCTTTTCTGCTGAATTCAAAAATTGCAGTATCTCAATTTTTGAAAATTCCGACTTTCAGCTCATTTTGTGGTGACCATTCACATTTTTGTCGATCTTATTCTGGTGTTAACTTTGCCTCTGTTCTGATTCCCTACAGTGTTGGCACTGTTGGACCAAGGAGCTGACCCAAACACGTCGTCAGAGAGTGGGGTCACTCTGCTACATCAGGTAAGGCAGCCATTGGCAAGCTGGAGACGGTTGATTCTGACTGTTCTTATCGCCCCAAATTCCAGGTTAGCTCTTTGCTGAAGTTAATAACAGTGATACGCCCTGACAATGATGTAAAAAGCACATTCAGAAATCTGCATTTCCACACCAAGGGCACATGCTCAGCCTGAGCAAGTTAATGGTTAATCTCATTACCACATTTGACTGACAAGGCAATTTCAAGGTCAAAATTCCTGCAGGTTTCAAAGCCCGTCTCCTGTCCACAGTGCTCTGCCGACTTTTACACAAAATGCTAGTGTTGATGCGATTGGGCTCCCCATTAGATTACAAAGTCCGTAATAATGCACGGATTAGCAGTAGTTAGAACTTTTGGGAATAGATGAGGCCCATTCGCTTTAAAATAATTTTTTTGCTTTGAGCCAGACGCATGAAAAATGAGTCACGAGCTAGTGTTAATGCACTTTCATGTATATGTGGGGTATCATGACTGTCGAATTATCATACATGCCAAGTGTGAGATTATGTTCCAGAAATAAAGTGTGAGGTGGAAGTAAAATTGTTTGTCAACTGTGTGTAACTTTTTAGGTTTAAGCTTTAATGACACATTTTTGTAAGGTTCCGAAGAGCAAGTTGGGGGAAGAAAATCTTAGTCATTTGGAAAAGTTTAGGACCACCTGGAAGTTAATTGGTATTTCCATCACTGGGCCTGCATTACATTGTCTCATTGAATGATTACTTTTTACAGTGGTGCTTAACACCAGTGTTGTGCCATATGGTACCCGTTTGAATGACATTTTGTGCAAAGGCGGGTCTTGTATGACATTTTGTCTGTAAGGCATCATGGCTGAAAAAGCCAGTCTAAATAGTCAGAAACAAAGGAGGGCAGACTAAATATTAGACTGTTAACATTTCAAATCATGGAAATGTGGTCAAATACTGTACCTGTTTAACCAAGATATTAAGGTTGCACATTGAAAATAAACATCAAGTGCCATGATTTGATTGGTTTAAGTTTGGTTCTTCTTCAGGTTAACTCCTTTTGTATTGGTGGTCCTTAACTTTTGCAGATGACTGTACTTTGCACCTCTCATTAATTATGACATGAACAACAGTTGGCCAAGGCAAAGTACTGTATATGTAGTTAATCATTTGTCACAGGTTGTGTTACCAATAAGAGCAACTGGCAACTGTAAATGTACTTGTATGTCTTTGTCGGGCACAAAGACTTTAATACAAAGATATGACACCTTTTTATTGTCCCCCCTTTCAAATTCCACACCACGCCTCTGAACTTGCCTCTTTCCTGACTTCATCTCATCCCCAGCTGCAGCTAGGAAACTATTGATAATCCAACCCGACCCGGTACACTTTTTTTTTGCCATTTTGTGCCAGTAAAGACTGATTCTGTGCTAAATCTCAATTTTTTGCATTCTTTGTAAGTACCTCATTAGGGCTGTGCCGAAAATCTGAATTTTTGATCGATTATCGATTATTCGAATATTGTTTACCGAATTTGAATATTTGAATTCAAAATTCCTGAAAAGGAAGGGAGAATTTCTTTTGTTTTAAATGAGAAAAGTTACACCACGGAGGCTTGTTTCAAGCAGATTCAAATGAAAAGTGACAGAGATCTTACAACAATTCAAAAAGTAAATTACTGATTAAAAAATTTAGAAAGGAATAGAGATTTTCTTTAGGGCAAGAAGTATTGTTCATCATCCAATCTTGCTAAATCGTGGCTGAAAATATGCTTAGATGTAAAAAGCTATTATAGTGATTATAATGTACCATTATGTGAGTTATTGCAACTGATTATGTGTATTTGTTTATCAACAGTCTGCCAGTCAGTACGACCGAATATTCAGATATTTGATCGTCAAATTCGATGTCGAATATTCAAATAATTAGTTATTCAAATTGACTCGGCCCTATGCCTAGTATCAATTCTGCTAGCAGTTGTGCCACACAAAATAAGCGAGGAAGATCATGTTTAGACAACCGGCATATCCGTGTAAACTGCTTCATTTTTGGTTACCAGTGCGCTCTCGATGACAACCTGGCAGCGGCTGAGATCCTGGTATCCCGTGGGGCCAACGTCAATGCACAGGATGACGACTGGTGGTCGCCGCTCCATGCGGCGTGCGCCTGTGACTTTGCCGAAATTGCCCAACTGCTCTTAAGTGTAAGTCACTCCTCATCATCGCAGTCTTGCTGGATTTGCATGTGGAACAGGTGTTCGTATCTGTTTTCAGGTGCTGTTTCTTTCTTAAAAAAAAAGTTGCCAACTGGGTATGCCGTTGTGCGTGTGCTTGTATCATTGGCACCAGTGTAAAAATGAAGTGTTAAAACTGGTCTGAAAGTGACTACCAGCCATGCCGAAAATGAGCTCACCCTCAACAGGTGTCTGAGTTTACGATTCTTAAAAACTGAAACGAATTTTAAAGGTTGACATATGGCCATGTTTCGAAAGCTTAACTGTAAAGAAGGAAAAGATATTGTGCCTTTGCATATACAGGGGTGTAAGGATTTAGCTTTTTTTTGTTTGGATGGTGACCCCGAATCTCAGCTTTTTTGTACACTTAGTCTGTACAAAAGTGTGGGAACTTTTTACATTTCACCTTTTTGCTAGCTGTTTTCAGCTTTAATTTTAAGTGTCCACTCACACCCCTGCATAACCAAGCTAGCATTTTGACATGGGTTCTGAATGATTAGATATTTTCTTTGGCGTAGCAATGTATGAGCCTAGTTGTGAACGTGTGGTGTGCATGTGTGTTCATGTTCTTAATTTAGGCCAACATTTTATATTAAAGTTGGATTGTGAACCCACTGACTCCGAATAATGAAATTTTGGGGGAAAAAAAATCAAAAATTTACATTATTTCATTTCCGATGGTGTTTATTAATGTGTTAAAAAAATGGACGAATTCAATTTTGTTTCCTCCGACCCTCGGTACATGTAAGTTAATGGTAGGGGAAAAAATGGAACCTAGGAGTTGCATTTTTGTATTCCGTCCTCTGACTCTGCCAAAGTTTGTGCTAAAAAATGCTGGCCCTAGAGTATCATGCAACATTATCAAAATGATTTTTATAGAGTGGTGCGGATGTAACCCTCCTTGACATTGACGGCAATGTCCCTTGGGACCACACAGCTGAAGGCAGCGAAACACGACTGGTCATGGAACAACATATGCAGCAAGTCGGTAAGAGCACTGGCGATGAGATGGGGGACGGGTGAGAGGGTAGGATTTGGAAAGAAGGGGCCCTTTGAAGGAGTCCAGCTCAGCCTGAAGAACAGTTTGGAATCAAGCTGGGAGGCATTTTGAAACTGTTGAGAACTTACAGGGAACTGTTGGGAACCAGCTGGGAACAGTTACTAACTTATTGGGAACTGTTGGGAACCAGTAGGGAACAGTTGGGAACAGATACTAACTTGTAGGGAACCATTGGGAACCAGTAGAAAACAGTTGAGAACCAGCGGGGAACAGTTAGGAACTTGTAAGGAACAGTTAGGAACCAGCCGGGAACAGTAAGGAACCAGAAGGAAACAACTGGAAACTTGTAGAAAGGAGTTGGGAACCAGGAGGGAACAGATAAGAACTCACACGGATCAGCTTGGAACCAGCAGCCTGCAGGGAACAGTAAGGAGCGTCCTTGCAGTCAGTACTGATCAGTAGGTACATGTATATACCTAGAGCACCCCAGAGTTTTGCGAATACATTTAAACTTTTGCAGGTTGCTACCAGCAACTGACTTGTCAAATAACTTTTTTTCCCTTGATTGTAGGAGTTGACAGCAGTACACTGAGAGGCATCAAGCAGCGGGATGCAGAGAGAATGCTATCGGATGTCAAAGAGTTCTTACTGACTGGAGGAAACGTGAATGCAACCAACGACAGAAACACGTCACTGGTAGGATGATACTTATGTGACTTACAAATTTTTTGAAAGTGTTCTTGGCCTCAAAAGTTTGCTTTGTCATAATATTTTCAATTTCAAGGGATAGGATGCTTCCCTTTTTTGCCATAAATTGTCTTTCAAAATCATGTTTTATCAAAGGTCTTTCTGTGATCAAAGTTTTTCTACTCAGTCAATAACCTGCCAGTTTTGATTGGATCGTTAATTGTATGTCCAGATTAAATATACAGAAAGTTCTCCCTTATGGCATCTCTCAAGTCGAACAGTTGGCCTATTCAGTTTCAGGGTATTCTGAGAGTGAAGAGTGTCATAGGCGAGACCTCAGCTGCCCCATGACTAATCTTTTTAAAACTTTGCATGCATGTAAAGACATTCACTCTAAATGCATCTGTGAAGTTTCACTTAAATTCAACGTAGGGTTTGTCACGGGCATTAACCATACTGGTCTTCAGTCCTTCACCTGTCGGTGGATTGAAGATTGTTAGAGTTAAGTGGTTTGCACCCTCACATGTTGTCAGCCCTTGTGTTAAAGCAGTCTCTTGGAAAAGAAATCTCACAAGAACATGTCTTATTTTCATCACAATTGTGTCAAAATGATCCTGGAAAGCTCCCAAAGGCTCAGCGTGAAAATGTGCTGCAGCAATATTACAGAAAATGGCGGGTGGCAGGGGATTCGTCTCTAGCTCTTGAAGGGTTGAACACCGAACCGGCATATCCTAATTCGGCACTGTCCTGATTGATTTCTAAATGTCATCCAATACTTGCATCCGTCTGACAGCTGCACATAGCTGCCGCCAACAACTACCGCGACGTGGCCAAGTACCTCTTGGACCACTATGCCGATGTAGACCTGGAGGATGATGAGGGGATGACTGCCTTGCACCTGGCGGCCAGATTCGGCCACACCAAGATGATCAAACTACTGACCAGGAGGAACGCCAACCCCAAAATCGCTAATGCCAATGAGGAGAGGGCCGTTGGTATGTTAAACTGGTGTCCTGCTTTTTAAAATGCGATTACACCACCTGGAACCTGCATCCAGTAGGGTTAAGTCCCAATAAATCCTTTTAAAAAGTGCTCTGAGAAGTCACAGAAAATAGGGAAAAAATTTGGTTGGCATGAAATCCTGTCGTCGGTGGACAGAAAGTCACGTAAAAGTTATGAAATTAAGAAAATCAAGATCATGCAAGGGTTATTTTTGATGAGCCGCTCTTTAATTGATGACAGAATAATGATAAATTTACAGGCTATCCCTTGTCAGTCTGTAGCAGTGGCCATGGCAGTCTTCCAGTTCATAATACCAAACAATTTTTCGCTGCAAAATGGCATCAAATGTCATGGAAGTTGTCATATTTTAATCCTGGGAAGCCGTGGAAAAGTCACCGAATTAGTTTTCCCGATTTTGGTGAGGACCCTGTCAGCTCCTCAAGAGAATTGGCCTCTTTGCGTATGAAGTATTCAAATCCTGAAAGTTTTTCCCCACTTTATTTGTGGTTTTGCTCACAGACTTGGCGGCTACTGAGCTGATCCAAGAGATGCTGAAGACTGCCATGCAGGAGTACCTGCCCAACCGCATCAAGCCGGTCGCCGCCCCCGGCCGCGACGACGAAATCTACGAGGAGCTGCCCGACCCTACATCGGACGGAGTGGCCCGCATCAACAGCAAAAACCTGTAAGATGTTTCAGAGGCAGAAGGGGTAGAAAGAGGACAAAAAGTGGGACGAAACAACTCTATGCGGTGCATGGGATATTACTGCCAAGCTGAGACCCCTGTTCCTTTTTTCCTCGGTTTGTGGGGTGAACTTTTGTCGCATCTGCTTCTGAAATGTTAGATATTACCAAGAAGTCACTGAAAAGTGGCATTTGGTTTGAAAATGGAGATCTCTTTTGATTAGTGACAGTGCAAAATAGATCCAGAGCAGATACGAATCTATCTCACGCAATAAATATGGCGGTATTAAGGAAAAGGATTCAGGTATGGATATCTCTGACCTTACTGAATTCAGACCTTTTGATTCTCAACGCTGTAAATAATTTTGCCTGGAAACACATTGTCAATGCAGAGAATAATGTGTCAATTTTCAGATACTCTCTGAAACTGCCGTGATCATTTCCTGTGAATCCTGATATAATTGAACCTCCTTTTTGATTACATTTCCTGGTTTGAAATAACAGACGATCGTAGTTTAAGTGGTTCTTTTTTTTCCCTTGAGTTGCACCAGTACCATTCATGGTTCAGTTACTGTGGTCAGTTGGGGCCATATTTAATTGCATGGGTGTTTACCGTAGCCTTCACTTACCTCTAGAGTTTAAATTTCACTTCAGGTTCCTTGTCTCCGCCCATTCAAATGCTGCCCCCGATACACAGTAAAGGAATGAATTAAAATGGCAGCTGCATTGTTTTTTTTGCCTTTGCAGAAGAGCAAGATCGTCATCCTTGTCCAAAACCGAGGAGATTTTTGAGGCGCAGACAAGGATACCCGACGACAACAAAAGACTCAGCCAACCAGGCGATGAGCAAATCAAGTGCATCGGGCTGAAGATTATGCCCGAGGATGAATCGGTAAGGAAGACCGTCTCGTCGATTCCACGCTCTCGCCGTTCATTTCTGCTTGAGTTTGTCATTTCTCGTCAGTCCTGGGTAGATTCATCTCGTCCCTTTGCATAACGAGTATTGCTCAGGCAAATCAACCCAAACCTTGTTTCAATTCCACAAATTTTAGTTAGGTTCCTTACTGACCAACTTTCGTATTGTGTTTCACCCCAACCACATGAGCTTTTTTTTCTTTGCGGCGCCCTAATTGCATCAAAATGCAGCACAGATGAACAAGAGAAACCCCGCTGAGAGCAGCAAAGGATCTTGTACAGTTTTATACACAGTAATTAACTTGATAAGCCGGGCTTTCTACTGTTACGTAGCATATGCCACAACTGCTGTTGATTGTCTATTCAACAGTAGACTTCAACTGTCAACGACCGTTGCATTATGTTGCTTTGAGCACTGAAGGAGTTTTACATGTCATCCCTGGAAACAAACAGAAAGGCTGGGCCAACTGTCTGGTTGCAGCCACCATAAATATTGGAATGGTAGTGGAGGGGTCGGGAACAGTCTGGTTGCCTCCACTGATGTACGCTTTTTAGGTGGATAGAACATCATTGCTAATTTAGTGAAGCACAAATGTTGCCCACTGACCGTGGCCCAAGGGAATTGTTGCTGGGTAAATATAGAACCCATAGTCTCTACTCCCTTGTTAAGCAACCTGCTGCGGTGAATTTGCAGAGAGCGTAACATCTTTGGCGATGGAAGGATTTTTATAAATGCCAAGGGTAATTAGTTTCAACAGCCGGTGAAATGGGCAAAGTGTGGCATTTCCTGCTTTGAATGGGCAGCAGTTGTTTTTTTTAATAAACAGAGCCATGAATCACCAAAATCATTGTGTAAGTGTATGGTATGTTGCTCCACAACATAGGAGATTCAGAAGTCAGGAAGTTCAGGCCAGAAATGTAAAGTACAGACTGTGTCCACTGCATTCGGATTGTGAGATGCAAAAAGTTGTTCACAGAATTTCACCCTAGATGTCGAGTTCCAATGAGGGGCATGTATAGAAACTTACTTCAGAATCCAGAATGCACCCTTGTTTGGATTCGAACCCTCTCAACCAGAAATTGGCAAGTTGGGGATGAACTGCTTTACCGACTTCTCGTTGTCTTTCATTTGATCTAATCCCCTGTCTGGACAGGTGTATCTGCCCGGCACGAGCTCCACCGACGACCTGACCTCCATGTCGGAGCTGTCCCAGAACATGATCCTGCAGGAGCTGATGCTGAGGTACAGCAAGGACATCATCTATGTAAGTTCCTACAGTCTCGCTGTCGAGTGCTCTATTAGTACTCAAAGGTCTATCCAAGTACCCTACAAGTACCTCAGTCTCCATAAAAGCAACTAGCTATCCGCATCACTTCAAACTGAGGAATGCCACTCTTGTGTTCACCCTTGGTAGTTGTTAAAGTACCTGAGACATACTTGACGTTTCGATCCTAGCAGAATCTTTCTTTGGGAAAGATTCTGCTAGGATCACAACGTCAGGCCCTCCATATTTTGAGATTTGTAGTTTAGGTCATTGTAGTCAGCAAGCAGTTTTGTGTTACATATCTTTGGATTGAGTCAAAAATATTGTGCTGTTAGTGTAGCTTGTAAGCCCAGACCAACCTGTAGAGAGTAATTTCAGAGATGGGAAGAAAACTCCCAGAAGAATATTGTTGGTGAAACCCAAGGAATCAGGTAGAGACTGAAAACCAAATCTGCTTGTGAACAGAGCTGGGAATCGAACCTCCTTGTGGCTAATTTCAGTATGAAGTAACTTCCAGTTAAACTGTTTCGATCTTTTTCCTGCTCTTCTCTCACCCTAAAGACCTACGTAGGCGACATCCTGATTGCCGTCAACCCCTTCAAGAGCCTGCCCATCTACTCCTGCCGCGTCTCGCGCCAGTACTGCGACCTGGCCGAGCGGCGCAGCCTGACGCCGCACATCTTCTGCCTGGCAGACGACGCCTACCGGGCCATGCTGCGGGAGGGGCGTTCGCAGTGCTGTCTTATCAGCGGGGAGAGCGGGGCGGGCAAGACGGAGTCGGCCAAGTACCTGGTCCAGCACCTGCTGCTGCGGGCCCACAGCGAGGAGAGCCTGCTGAACGAGAAGATCCAACAGGTGAGCATGAGCAAAAGATTGTGGGCTGCTTGCCGCAAAGCATCAAAATCTGCTAAGCAAAAAAATACCTGCTCAGCAAAAATAGGTTACCAGCCAAGATGTCATGCCATACATTTGTTGTAACTGGCAGTCAGCTGATGTTTTCTGTGCATGTGAATTTCCCAAACATTATATTTGCTGAGGCACTTCCCTTGAATTTGAACAAACTTTGCTCTTGGGCTCTGTCAACAAGTAAATCTAAACCTCAGTCACTACTGTGGTATGTAAATGTTGAGTTCCAGATATGATTTCCCACTTAGGGGTCACAGTTTTACCGGCAATGCTTATGAAACATGACTGTTTTTTTTTTTCCCAGGTGAATCCGTTACTGGAGTGCTTTGGGAACGCCCAGACAGAGATGAACAACAACTCCAGCCGCTTCGGCAAGTACCTAGAGCTCCTCTTCTGCCGGGACGGGCGGGTCCAGGGGGCAGCACTGTCAGAGTACCTCCTGGAGAAGTCGCGGGTGGTACACCAGGGCGAGAGGGAGAGGAACTTCCACATCTTCTACCTGATGTACGCTGGCCTGTCGGAGGAGGAGAAGATCGAGTTTGGGCTGTCTGGTGCCGAGGCGCACAGGTATCCGCCATTTGAGCACAAGAATTTGCTAAACAGTAAAAATAACCACTTACTAAAAAGGTTGCCAGCCAAAAATATCATACACTGTACGTGTCTTGTGACCTGTTACCAGCCAATTTGTGCATAGCACATGAATTTGCCCAGCAAGTTGGTCAAATTAGGATCAAGTGGGAATCGAACCCACAACGATTTGCTTATAGAGCCCATATGTGCTGGTGTCCACACTTCTCTCACAAACTTCACTGATTGGTCAAATTGATGTCAGACTGTGTCCAGAATAAGCATCATTGTTTTTATGGCTGTGGCTTCTCACCTCAGCAGTGCAGTGGCAAAATTGGTAGCCATAACCACAAAATGTACGGTTTGGACCGGTTGATGTCAGGGATGATTGGTTGCCAGGGATTGTAGGATATGAGATTTTCAGTGCAGAGGATCTACTAAGAGTGCAGAGGTCTCGATCTTCCTTACCTTCGAGGCATCACAAAAGTCTGTTTTTTTAATAAAAAATGTTTTCAGTTTTGCTACTCCCTAAAGTACAGACAAGATTGTTTCCTCCAAGATTTGAACACGAAATAAAGGATGTCTGATTCCATTTGCATGTTGTTTATGGTAATTTCTTGTGAACTGTTTTGTGCGCTGTCCTTAAAGGTACCTGAACAGAGGGCATGATGTGAGGAGAGCTGTCAACACGGCTTGTAAGCTCAAGTTCCAGTCTGTGAGAGACTGTCTACATCTCATCGGCTTCTCCAAGGATGTAAGTCTTGTTGCACCGGCATTGACTATGAAACTCAAAATTAACCCCCTCCTCCGGGTACAAGACATTCTTTCCTGTTTGAAAACTTGGCAGATTCTGCGTGCGGTACCAGGTGATGTCTGTACTCTTTCCCGGTGCTTGAGTTGTTCCTGTGGAGTTTTTATACTCACGGAGGCTGTAACTGTTCCTTTGAGATTGAGGTTGCATGGAGCCCTCAAGTGGCTGCGGGCACTGTAGTAAATTGTGCTATGAAGTTCAAGCAAACAGCAAAAGCATTTACTGAGAAGTAAAACCATTTAAGAATAAGCAATTGTTTGAATTTGTAGGAATAAAATGTTTCTTTTACTGTTCAGCATCTGCTTGTACAAATAGTAGCAAATGCTTTTATGCTTGTGGCTGACTTCACAGCCAAACGGTTTTGCACAATAGGGCTTCTGTTGTCTGACGTACAGACTCGCACAGTGCAGCACGGTGCTGTATCTCGAGACCTCAGCATGGCAGATAAGCATGATGGCAGTAATTTTGATTGCAAAAACCTTGATGAAGAAAATTGCTCTGTCACTCTCAAATCAGTACAGCTGCCTGCATCTGGTTTCTTGAGATTCCCTCCTAAAGGCATACAGCGTTTCCTTTCGAAAGACATTCATGAACGCTGCCATTTTGAACATTAGTAAATGCTCCTCGTTTTCAAGATTGCCCTGACCCAGTCTTGAAAAATGTCAAGTAAAAACTCCAATTCTGTAGAACTTACTCAATTTTATTCATACAAAATGAAGCAACTGCTTTTGTCAAGCACAAGCTTGGAGAGTAAAAGCAAATACTTTTACTTTTTAGCAATTGCACTAAAGTAAAACCGTTTGCTTCATTATGATTCATACAAACACGAGTAAATGCTTCAAAAATGGAAGTAAAAGCAAATGCTACCTTTTATTCATACGACCCATTGTCTTGGAGTTTCAAACAAAACAAGCATGCAGTGAGAAACGTCGCCCAAATCTTGAACAACGGACCACCAGGGGGCAGTATTTGTAAGGTTTATCTTTGTTAAGGACTCTGGCTGTGGTATCTTGTCATTTAAAAGTATTGGTATATTGTCCGCAAATAATCTGTGTCCCAGTCTGGGACAAGTTTGTGGTGGAATAGACTATCCCCAAATGGCTAACGTACAAATGGGGTCATTGCACAATGGTAAAATGACCGGAGTCACTGCAGACTTCATCTTAACTCCAAACTCTTGACACTGAGGAGTGAGATTTGTCAAGATTTTTGAGGCTGGAAAACTTTACATTACAGTTGTTTCTCTGTTTCAAAGTTGATGTAGAAAACAAGAAACGAATATTTGAAGGGGTACCTTTTGGTAGCCACAAATGTGTACCAAAGACTCTACGTCACTGGGGGGGCTCTTCAAACCTCGGGTGGTTATTACGTGGATATTTCACGTTCTGCTAATTTCATCCCCGGTTTAACCCCCTTTTCTGTGACAGGACGAGGAGAGTTTATTCCGCACCCTGGCCGCCATCCTGCACCTTGGCGACCTCCACTTCACCCAGTCGGACAAGGACATGGCCCGTCTGGTCAACCAGGAAGTGCTGGACAAGGTGGCAGTCCTCCTGCAGGTGTCTGCCGACGAGCTAGGAGGGGCCATCATGTCCGAGACCACCTACACCAGAGGTTCAAACAGTTGACACTTTTCTTATTGAGCTTTCTTTATTTCTATGAAGTCATCTTTGATCTGATGGTTGATGACTGTTGTCGATTACTCAGCGCTAGTCGAGGCACGTATCGTGTACATGCATTCCAGCTTCCCGACTGCAGTACTTTTTCCCAAAATTCTGTCCATCAAAAGTCTTCTGGGAATCTCTAAGTACGCTTGTAGATCCAAAATTTGGACATACTTCTGAAATCAGTTTCTGACTTACAGTCACTGCACCCAACAGCTCCCAGAATCAAACTGAAAGTCGCGGATGCCGCAAGAGAAGAGAGAGCAGTGTTATAGCCAAGTCCATCATCCTGCAAATGCATTACAAGCTCACCACAAGCCACTGTGTCACAAGTCCGGTCACAAACCATTCAAAGCAGCAAAGCAGCCGGACAAAAACGTTTGTTGTCATTAATCACCCGGTTAATACCTAAAAAGGCCATGTGAGTCGGGAGACTTTTCGTTGAAAAAGCTTGTTTCAGATTGGAAACGTGAAACTAAACAATTGACTTTTTGTGGATCCTTTGTGGTGCTACACCCAAAATAGTCAGGCACTACCCCGTTTAAGAGATAACACTGAATAAGGTGGATTCGGGGATCATGGTTGAAAATGGCTTCATCTGTTGCCTGTATCAGAGCAATGGTTGATTGAGTCACTGGATAATATGTATAGGCTTATTCCTATATCCTTGATTCAACACCCCCCCAGGTGAAGCCATCACCAAGCTTCGAACCGTAGACCAAGCCGAGGAGTGCCGCGATGCCCTGGCCAAGGCCATCTACAGCCGGCTGTTCAGCTGGGTGGTCAACAACATCAACCAGCTCCTGCAGCCCGTGGAGGGGGCAGAGACCGACTACGAGATCGGGGTGCTGGACATCTTCGGCTTTGAGAACTTCTGCCGGAACAGCTTTGAACAGGTTGGGCATGAATTGATCGAGACAGAAACTCCTGAAAAAATGTGCCTTTCTTGAAGAGCATATATCCACAAACTTGGAACTCCTTATTGGTACCCCTGCTTATCAGGCTTATAAAGCATTTACAAGTCTAGTTTGCTTCGTGGAACAGAAGCCATTAATTAACAGTTTATCTCTTTTTAGTGTTGTATGATCGTACATATCTAGGATGGGTGGACTTTAAGTCCGCTCCGATCTTAACGATAACCAAGTTACAACAACAGTTTGTCTCTTTAGTTGGTAGCAGTTTGTGACAACGTCTTGCATGTATTGGTAAAGTGCCTTGACCAAAGACACAGAACAATGCTGAAGGCTCTACCTCTTTGTAGAATTTTTCTCGAGGTATCATGTTTGACACTTCCGACTGCTATTCCTGGTACTTGTTACTTGTTACAAATTGAAAATGTCTGAAACAGGATTCAAACCCCGTCTCCAAAGAAGTTCTCCAAATGATTTTGAGAAGTTACTGGTTCAGATCCCATTTTAGATGATCACATATTGCTTTTTGCCACTCTCTGTGATTATCTCGACAGGTCTGCATCAACCTCGCCAATGAGCGGCTGCAGAACTTCTTCAACGAGCACATCTTCCTGAAGGAGCAAGACGACTGCGAGCAGGAAGGCATCAAGCTGGACAGCATCAGCTTCACCAACAACAAGCCCTGCCTGGACCTCTTCCTGGAGGTAAACACGTCTAGACAGTTCGAAAGGAAGACGCAAGTTAGGATGTGAGGAAAAAACCAGCTGTGTGCTTGGCGGCGTGTTTTGGGCTGCTGTTTCTTGATGGAGTTTCGCAGCACTTCTGATGTTGCTGGCACGTTTTGGGATGTGATTTCTGGTCACACCGCGTGAATGGGTCTTGTGGTTTGTGACTCGCACACCAGAATGAAAACATTGACAGACCAGGAGATCAGCAACATGACCAGTCAGTTGGTAGATAGCTAGAATGACGTTTCCCTGAACATGGCAACAAACAGGACTCTATTTGCCCCAGCCTTTGAAAATAGTTTAGGCCTATTGTTTGTTTGTAATCCCTTTTAGAGTTACATGTATATACATGTAAAAGTGTCTTTCCATAATGTTTTTGGGCTGCTTTGCATACGCGATGCGTTCATGCGTTTCACTTTCATGGATACAAAAGTTGACTCCATTGTAACTTGTGCATTGGGTTCGGCTGTCAAAATCACCCCGGGGAGTAATTTGAAGGAACCCAAAGCTTGGCGCAAGTGTTGATGTGTGTATGGAAAGGCGCCTTAAATCTACACTTAGTGCCCTCTTAGGCAGTCAATATATGCACACTGCCGGTCAATATATTTATACCAGTGCTTGCATTGCCAGTCAATATAATTCTGTGCACTGTGTGCATTGCCAGTCAATATGTACAACATGTCAGTTTATGTATGCAAATCAGAAACTGCACTGCCACTTTATGTATTGCTCTTTCTGAATTTTAAAGATGAACCTTTTATGTTTGTCCCCTGTGCCTAATGAAATCTCATTTCTGAAAGCATTCTCGGTAATTAGTCTGAAAATTTGCACACTTCCTGATGTAGAGACACACGGGCATCATCGCGCTCATTGACGAGGAGAGCCACTTCCCGCAGGGTACCGACAAGTCGCTGGCCACCAAGCTGCACAGCGGACTGAGCCCCAAGGCCAAGAACATCTACTTTGCTCCCAAGGACGGCGGGCTGTCCTTTGGCATTTTGCACTATGCTGGAATTGTGAGTCAAACAACATGGCAGTATTCACCAAGCTCTGCTTAGTAAACATGTGAAAAACAAGTATGATCACTTAAATTCTTGTAAACACAGTACTAAATATAACCCATCAACGATGACACTTCATAGTATCAACTAGACCAACAGGCTTGAATCAAGTCTATATTACCAGTTTCAGACGATAGACTACTTGTGACTTTACCTTTAACCTGTGCTGTTGCTACCCAGGTGAACTATGACCTCTCAGGCTTCCTGGAGAAGAACAGGGACACGTTGGCTAAGTCGGTGCAGTTTACCATGAAAAGTAAGAATCAGATTAACATTTTTTTTAAACAAATTTGGGTCAAGTTATGGATGTCTGGTACAAGTGACCCTCTCAGCGGTGTCAGAGACAAGTGTTCACGCCAGAGACCCAATTCTGAAACCACTTATTACTGTGATTTGGTCTTGTAGCAAGCTACAGTCCCCTGATCCGGGAGATGTTCCAGAGCAAGGTGACGAGGACGGGGTCCATAGCGCCCAGCGTCCGGCAGCGGGCAACGCGGAAGTCCCGGAAGCAGTCGACTAAGAACACCAAGGATGCCTTTGCCTTCTTCCGGCAGAAACGGATGTCCGAACGGGAAAGCCTGGTAAAATAACTCTGCATTATTTTTAGAAATGTGGAATACTTTATAAAAGGTCTAGAGTTTGCTTGCGATAATTACCTAGGATGTACAAGTTGAAAAAGTTTGCAGGCCTGATGTATCGATCCTTGCTGAAATTTTCTTTTGAAAAAAAGTTTTTTTAGAAGATCTTAAGATTCAAGAGTGGGTGTATGAATGCTGTGGACATTTCACCACCTAAATCAACTTGAGCTAAAACCACAAATATGCCCAAACTTCATGTATTTAAATATAATCAGCTGTATACTGTTGAACTTAATATTGGATTTTCTGATTGATATTGGATAGTATCAAGAGAAGCCTGAAGCATTGAGAGATTGAAGTTATTGAAAATAAACTGAAATGGTTCAAAATGGATATTCTGTCCACAGAGAAGGAAGAAAGTGGAGAAACCAGTAACAGGAACAGAGCGGAAGGGAGCTGCCACAGTTTTGTTCCACTTCAAGGTAGAGTTTCTCATTTTACAAGGAGAGCTGTATATTTTCCTGTGTTTTCATCGTTTCACTTCCTGTCCCTGTGTGTTTCCCCAACCATTTTCATTGGCCTTAGCTTTCCGGAGGTTATGCCAAAACTTTTGTCACATAAGTGAAGAGGTTCCAGGTTGATGAATCTATCGATCCCAGATTAATTGATGATCAAGTGAAAGTTAATTGATGATTGGTGAAATGGCAGATGGACTGACGGATTCATTCACTCTGTTTGTAAGTTACCAATCAATAGACCGTGGTGCCACACATTATTTTGCATGTTCAGTTTTGTTTGGAGCTTCAAATTTGTCATACCAACATGGCTGTCATGAGAAAGCACATTTTTTGGATTCAAGATTGATTATTTACTTAATAACTGAATCATGCAGTCTAACATGCTGACTCGTCAATTAACTCCAGTAACTAATCTAGTTTGAATTGATTTTCGTCAGTTATTGCCAAATTAATCAATTTATTGATTCGTCGGTGGACAGAATTCCCTGTTGGAGCTGATTGGCAAGATGACTGTCTCCTCCCCGCACTTTGTGCGCTGCGTCAAGCCCAACACGGCCAAGCTGCCGGACAAGTTCACACCGGAGTACGTCATCGCCCAGCTGCGCTACACAGGCATCATGGAGACCACCCGCATCCGGCAGCAGGGCTTCCCGCTCCGGCTCACGCCCGAGGAGTTCTTGCAAAGGTTCGCCGTTCGATCTCACCCCAACCTCTCCTTTTATTTTTTCCCTTTGAGAAGTGAGCACCTTGTGGTTTTGTAGTCAAGTCCTTTACGAGTCTTACGGATGTCTCAAAATATGAGGTGATCTAGAGGGAATCAAACTTGAAAAACTAGATGGTGTTATCGGAATTCCAATGGTTACGAGCATGAGATTGAATCAGATTGCACCAAGGGTGTGCTTCATTGGTTCTGTACCCATGGCAGCAGTGTGCCCAAACGTTTACACGTATATTCCTTCTTATGAAAGTAACTCGGCCAACACTGCCTTGGTACTTCGGCCTGATTTCTCCTGCCTCGTTCTGCAACTCGGTTGTACATTGGGACTTGGAAGAGCACTTGACTACAGTGGCGAAAGGGGCCTCGTGTGTTGGAGTGTTGGAGAATTTGGGGAATTTCAGTTGATTGAAATGTCTCACTATGGTAGAATTTGAAAAGACACCAAACCGAGTTGTTGGATGGGATTTGTAGAGCGATTGTTTTCAGATTTTGAGGGCTTTGGTTTCCTGGTGTGGTTACCTGAGATGACCATTTGTGGGTTTAAATCAGTGAAGCACTGTATGCAGAACATCTTCATGCAATTCAAAATTGCAAGTCAAGAGGATGTAGTTACTGAAGCTCCAATGAATGGGTTGGTCGTGTGGTTCCAAGGCCATGAAAATCTTGCAAAGCTGATGTTAGATTCTGAAAGGTTTGATGTAAAGGGTTTTAAAAAACAAAATAGACTGTTTTTGTAATATCGGCCTTTTTGATGAAGATTTCACCTTAGATCCCTGGAGAATGATGTAACAAGTACTTAGTATGAGAATTTCTGTTGTTCATTAGTGACTTGGTCTTTCCTGTGTCTTGTGCCCTGACACCATTTAGGTACACTGCCCTGGTAGAGTTCTCTACCGACCGTAAACTGCAGCAGACAGACCTGCAGAGATGCAAGGACACGCTCAAGTACCACAACATCTCCGACTGGAAGGTGAGTAGGTGAACAAAAGGGGGGAGAGCGATTCCAGAAATTTGCTTGAAGTCCAGCAACAGTAGGAGAATAGTAGATAGCGCTGTGTGATTACCCGCAAGAGCCACATGCAGGGGATACATTGCAGGCATGCATTAGTTTTTGCACATATGGCACAGAGCGCCTGGACTAATTTTCATTTGAATGTGCACAACTCGAAGGGCGTTTACATTGGTGCTGAGTACACCGTGGCTTCTGTGCCAGAACAGTAGATTGAGCCTGGTGTAATCAGTCACAAGACCTGGAGTGAGGGACATACACCCAAGGCATGCAATAGTTAGTGTGCATACCGCACAAAGTATGTAGGACTAATTTTCATCTGAATGTGCACAAAGCCAGAGTGAGCAATGAGTCTGTGGTAGCAGTAACCCTCAAGTGTCTACCATATCTGTGTTGCCATTGAAGAGGAGGCTCTTGCAAGAAATCTGTGAAAGAAAACCTCTACATGTATGTTCTGTCGTTGTCGGGATGTGCTGATTTAGCCCCACACTTGAAGCTAATGTTCTTTCCTTGCTCCTCTTCCCAAAATAAACCTGAGTAAAAAAACATTCAGAGTAATTGTATTTCATTTTCCATTATTTGTCTTGGCTTTCAAGATGACTGTAAAACTTATTGACCTTTTATAACCTATGAAACATATACCGGGGGTAATTTCAAAATTTATTACACATTGTGAAAGTGAGTAATTACAGTCCTTCAGTCACTGAGCTGGTAAAACTTGTCATTGCCTTTACAAATTTTCTTGGAGAACTTGAGAATACAGTGTAATGTAATGAATGTCAGTGTGAGGGCAAAACCTGTATTTAAAAATTAACTTCTCCCTGACGCAAAGTACATCTTAAAGTGATTTCTGCTACATCTGACTAAGACCGGCTAGCCGACCCTGGCAAGCTTGGTGGTCGAGTGGTTAAGACGTCTGTCACTAGTAAGCAGGAGGTTGTGGGTTTGAGTCCCACCCGAGTAAGCTTGTGATTTTTTTTCACAATCTCCTGGACAAGCGCTTAGAATACAGTGTTTTTTAATACACGTCCGTATGAGGGCAAAGTCTCTATTTAAAAATTTGTCAGAAAATTAAGGAAAGCAGTTCTGAGTACAAGACAAAGCTTGTTTTGAACCTCAGGGAGGAATAGTTGCACATCGGTGGATTAATGCTGGTCAACAGTGTCGCAAACAATTAAAAACTCTTGCCTACTTCCCGTATTTCAGCTCCATCCCGATTTCCCCACCCTGCCCCAACTTCCCTACCCCATTCTGTGTCTCCGTTTATGTTCGCTCCACTCCAAAATAACACAGCGTGCCAACAGAACCGTGGAGTATGATGCGAGCCACATTCTATGTAAGATGGCCAACCATACTAACCGGTCAAACTCACCTGTCTGTGAGTGCAATCTACGTCACTGTTCCCCAGTCAATCTCTCCCATGCCCATTTTGCAACCTCCTCCCCACAAACTGACAAAAGCCCATGCGCACCTGTCTGCATCAATCAAAGTCTGATCAAGACATATCGTGGGTGTGTTAAGCGCAGTGCTGTATGAATCATAACGAGGCAAGGAAGTCCCAATTTGCCCGTTAATTATGGAAACCTACCTGTCTACTCTGGGATGCACGCATTAAGGAATCTCACACTTTCTATCTTTTTTTTTTTTTTTTAGCTTGGTAAGTCCTCCAAGTTGTTCTTCCGACACTGGCACACGCAGAGACTGCAGGAGCTGAGCAGCCGGTTGGAGAAGAAGATTGTAACGTGCCAGAAAGGTAAGCAAGACACAGGGATTCCTCTTTGCAGGGAGTTGGGAACGGGACGGGAGTTTGATCATAGCAGGTCTCCGGGAGAGGTCTTAGGTGACTCACAGGAAAATCAGCAGGGACTAGTGCAGTTAGCCCCGGTCTGCGCTTGCGGATTGGGTTGGGAGAATTGAAGGTAATGAGTTGCCTTGGACTGGAAAGTCTTGTTTTGACGCCAAGATTTTAAGCTAATCAAGACATTGTTTTTTTTTGCTTGGCTGGAGGGAGGGGCATTAGACATGCCGTACTCCCTTTTCACGTCTCACACAGATTTATGCTGGTTGTCCTAAATTTCTCTGTGTTGTTGCGCTGCCGTAGTTGATTTGTTCTGTGCATATTACAGGTTAATTTCAAAGGGGCGTTCCCATTTGCCAAGCGTTGTGTGCACCCGCACATATCTAACAGGTTCCTTTCAGGTGTCTGTTAGAACATGACCATTTTACAGATGTATGGCCTCCACACATTGCAGAGCGTTATTTGCTGTGTTCTTCAGTGATGCCAGTGCATTAAGTTTACATTACAATAGCCTGTCATTTCCTAGGGAGTATACTCATAGAGGCAGAATCTGGTACACCTGTTACTACGAGTCTACTCGTAGCCAGAAGTCAATGTGTTAATGTTAAGATGACAGTATTCGACCAGATCGAGCCAGGTATAAATTTTGATCATTAGGATCATCCAAACTCTACAGTGGAATCTTTTTTTCCGTTTTTTTTTCACTTGAAGTCCACTACACTTCCCACACTTAAAGAAAACCAAATGTAAATTTTGTGCCAAAAAAAACAAAACACAGAGCCCACAAAAAAGTCTTTCTGGACAATTTTCAAAAATGTACGAAAACTGCAAGTCAGACTTACGAGGGTCGTTGACCCCTGACAGTATTGACTTTGGGGCATGTTTGGATTTTGTAGAGCCATTTCAGCAGGAAATCAGGGGTACATTTTTTTTTTTTTTGGAGACTGCAAGCCAACATTGGCCGTGTCATCAATGCCCCGTCACATGATGCCTCTTTTCCTACTCATGTGGTGTCAGTCACTATTTTAGACGTTTGCAAACGTGGGCCAGCACACATTCCATCACAACTTCCCTGTCATTCAGAGGAAGCGGTGAATTCTGTGGGTTCTGGTTTTATTGCGTAGCGGACTTGTGGTCTGATGTTTACATCAACACCGTTTGACTGGTGACTTGTAAATAAAAACAATTCTTGGTCTTGCGTGCTCTTACATTTATGCAGAGGTAAGTGCACGGTAAAGTTGGCTGTGCTCACAGTTTTTGCTCACGGTCTAGCCGACTTGCATGGAAGTCAAGCCAACAGTTTTTCTACTATTTCATTGAACCCTTCAAAAGGAGGGGTGCGTAAACAGTAATTTTTCTTGTCAGATTATTTCTGAGGGGATGAGAGTGTGTGATTTCTGGAATTTAATTCGGTTCTCTGAAAATATCTTGTTGCCCACTCAATTGTTAAAATCGGGGATTTGAGTTTGTTTCAGTTGAAGAGATTTTGGGTGTCCCTTGTATTTTCCTCAGTGGTGCGAGGTTTCCTGAGCCGACAGGGAATGAAAAGTCTCCTCACGAGATGGAAACGGCAAAAGGATTGTGTGGCTGTCTTCTTCAGTGAAGTACAGCGCAAAGGTGACTTAATCTTTGAGGTAAGGCCCTTTCTTAGCATCAAACTTTTTAGATTCAGTTCTGCAGAATTTTTCAGGAGTGGCAAGTGACCGCATCTGTATTTGCCATTTTTTTTTTACCATTTCAAGTATGTTTTGAATTATATTTGTTGTTGTCTGAGGTTGCTCTGCCAGCTTTATAGTCAAGTCCAGTTGAGTTGTCAAAAGATCATCACGAGTGAATCACAGGTTTCACAAACTGAATGCTCATTTCTCGTTATAATACAGCATTTATTTTTTTGCAAATGTGGTTGAATTGGTTGTACTGCAGGCCCTCGACAGTCTTTTGTATTGAAGGAAATGCCCTTTGTGTATTTGCTTGTTCTATGCCCTAGTAGTTAGATAACTTTATTGCTGTATTGAACTTGTATATATGTGATATTTTTTAATGTGACAAGCATGGAAATGAAAAACGTCTCTTGAACTGACTTGAACTCGTGCAACAAGCAAGCTGACTTGACAGACAGACTCCGTTGACATTTGTCATCCCCCGTTACTCGCAACCAGGCTTCTGATTTGACTTGTAATTTGAGCAGGATCAGAACTCGAGTGAATGGAAAAATCGGAAAAGGTCAATCCCATTTGCACAGAGGCCCCAAGAGTTGTGCACGTTTTCCCCCAAAGGAGCAGAGATTTGAACTTCGGGCCTGTGTATGCGCCACCTCGTCCCCGCGTCTATCTGTGCCGTGCGTGTGATGCCATAATGTGCCATCATTGCGCAGGTCTGCACAGGCTTCTCACATCTCGGCCGTAATTGATGGGACTGGTTGTCCAATGGGCTCGACTGTCGGCCTTGAGGGTTCATGGTGATGATGATGATGATGCGTGCGTGCGTGTGTGTGCGTCATGCATGGCTGGCCAGGGGCAGTTCACACAGTGTCTGTGCTGCTGACGGGAGAGGGGGATCTGTGCCAAGTTTAAATGTACTGTGAAGGGCATGTCATCACCATGAGAAGATTCCGGTGCATAAAAAAAATAAGAGACTTCAAAGAGAAGTCTGCGAGTTTATTGACATTGCAGCAGGTCGTTTATCTTGTCGACGTGGTTTATTTGCAAGCCTCAGAAGAGAGTGAAAATCATTAATGCCGGGGGGTTGAAAGATTTGTCCAGATTTTGCCCTGATTTCAAGATATTTTTCATCACGATTTTTCCTGATTCCAGGATTTTCCAAGCAGTCTACATGTATTTTAAAAAATGGAAAATACGAGTTTACCTTTAAGAGTGTTTTTATGCGCGACATTGGGTATTGAACACTGCTGTGGAGCCATGATCAAACCGGTTGGTGACTATTTGATGGATATTTCATGTTCCTCCAATCTCACCCTTGTTGATGAGTTTATCTGTATGCAGTGAATGTATCTTTAATATATTGAGTTGGTTCTTCGGATAATTTATAAATGATCTCTGAAATGGGTGCTAAATAAGTAACTAAGATGTCTGCATAAATGGCCTGTGGGTTCAAGTCCATCTCAGTTGTAAATTCATCACAGTCGAAATTCCCAGGAAAGGTGCTGTGAAATCACAGACTTTTGGGGAACAAGTGAAACGGTCTCAAGCATTTTAAGAGCTCGCAATTGGAAATCTACTCACTGGCATACAATGCCAACTAAACATGAGATCAGTTGAAGAGATTAATTTTCTTCAGTCTGGGGTCCTTGATTGTCATTGATAGCTTTGCTTCTTAAACAAGGAAGGAAATATCACTGGTGTTGGAGAACATTTGCCCAGGGTGAAAATCTTCGAGGAAACCAGCAGTTAACAGTTCTTGTGTGCTGAGAGACTTGGCACAACAGATTTGACATCTCAGGTCTTTATTTTCCGTATCATAATAGTCAGCCATCTTTGATTAATCCGTAAGGAAGATTTTGTTTATAGAAATGAATGCCTCTCAATACGGAGACCTATGAAAACTGAATGTTTACAGCTCTGATGATGCATTTCAGAAAACAAATCACTATGTGGAACATGTAGTCCTCTCATTTCCTTTATTGTTACCATAGACCGCCAACAGCGCCCTCTTTAGTCCATACAAAGAGCATATAAAAATTCCTGTACATGTATCAATGAGTAATTAACTCCAGTTGAATGTGAGTAGCTTAGCTTTTTCGAAGCACTACATACACGTATCATCCCCAAACCACAAGAACCTCAGTGTCCAAGGGCTTCATAAAAGTAGGAATTAAAGGTGCCAATCCTTGAAGGCCATTATTGTGAAGAAACAGTAATACATGTATATGAAAGAAAAGTAGAAATCCGTGGGATCTACCAGCAAAGCTTCGTTTACAGATTACAGCAATTTGACTGGATAACTCTCATGTTTGTTTCAGAAACAAGCTTTATGTTAAATTTGCCTCCAAACATGAAATTGTTATAAATGTGAACTGCTTAGAAACCTAACTTGTGCAGGAGGCAGAGTTGTTTTTGCTGTGTTTTACTGCTTGGATCTGTAGTATTCCTTGAACAATTGGTGCCGATCACTAACAAAGCAATGTATTGAGCGGTCATGATCAGCCTTTATGAAGGGTCTGTATGTATATTCAGTAAGGCAATACTCTGTACTTGTAATTACAAGCAGTAACCGATACTGTGTATCCCCTGCAGTGGATGCATGCCCTAATAAGGAAATGGAGAATGGTCTTCACCCACGAAATGCCATCCCAGCAAGATAAAATCTGGGGTGTCTCTTACATGTGCTTTGTTCTCTTTGTTGAAAAATTTTCTTCCTCAACGGTGACATGAATTTGAAGATACTACTTGAAATCCAAGTTTTGTCAATCCTAATAAGGTTGTGTCAAAGCCGAGAATGTTGATGAGTGAAGGGCATCCCTTTAAAAATAAAAAGACAGTGAAATGTTTCCACAGACTGATGATGGTTTTCCCTGTCTGAGATAGTTACCGTGGCAACATCTCTTACCTCTCAATGACCTCTTGGACAGCCAGCCTCCTTCACTCAGTCTCTGAACCCCAGAGTGCAGTGTGCACAATGGGATATGTTGTCAGGCTCTTCCTGCATCACTGGAGCCGTCTCTGTCTGGTTTATCTGACCAGGAACTTTGGGGCAGGCATGGCTTTTGGTGGCGTGTGTGTGTGTGTGTGTGTGTGTGTGTTGCTGGTTGGCTTGGCCGGCCTTGGCCAAACCTCCCTTGGTGATTTCCTGGGATTTTTAGACTTGCCCACAGTCTGCTAGCGATTTTATTTCCCCCCCCCCTGTTCCTCTTGGGTTGTGGGCCAGATGCCATTTCCTGAACAAATTTGAAGAACACAGACACCTCACATTTGAAACCTTAACATATAGGCCCGAGCAGCGTGTGCCATTTTGTTAAAGTACCTAGCACCTGGTAGAAGATGTATTTTGGGAAAGATTGAAATCACTCATTGTCATGAACAAAAACAAAACTCATTACTTGTCACTTTAATGAGGAGCCATTTATGTGGCCTGATGACTATTTGTGTCTTCCATTTCTCTCAGAGACCAATCAAAGCACTAGATAACAGAACAATCGCAGAGATTGAACAGTAACGACCCAGACATTGTGCCAGCTATTCAGTGACATAGTTTCTGATGATTTTTTCCGAACAAAACAAAAACTGTTGGAGTGCTTCAAAGCCGAGTCTGCAACAGTTATTTTAAACAAAGTGCAAGCTGTCACAGTGATTTCAACTTGAGTCTCGACACAGTTGTGCCGTAGAAAAGCCGTTTAAATTCTTCCAACTTGTGTCTGTAGCAAGTTTCTGTGCCACAGCTGCTCTTCCAACTTGAGCCTGACACAATTACAACAGCCAGAAGCTGTCACAGTGCATCCAACTTGCGTCTGTGACAATTAACCTGAAGCCACTACTGTGCCTCCATCATTACCTTGTACCACTGTATCATCTCGTCTCATGCCTGTTGGATGGGTCGGTGGGAAACCTGGCAAAGCATTGTTGTCAGCACAGCTGCACCGGTAGCCAGTGATTTCTCCCCGAGGCTATAAAGTACTCACACAAGTCTACCCTGGGCTCACCTCAGGAAATTAATCAGTGTGTTTTATCGGGTGGGAACTCTTCCACAGAAGCTGGCCAATTGCAGACCAATTTGATTGTTAAAAAGTGCATGCACCACACAAGGCAGAGTCAGGCCATCCGTTTTTTTTTCTTCAGGGTCCAAGTTCACCAGAGCGTGGGAATTATTTATGTTCATTCTCGTGGAGCCTCCTTTGTGAAAAGTGATATCCCAGGCATCATCTGTGGAGCAGACATATCATTAGAGTTGATGAGCAGTTGCTGAAAGCTGGAGTCCAGTTTCTCGTTCGCTGATCAAAGGCCAACCATTCAGCCCTTTGTCATTCCATTGGGACTTCCATCATCGAGAGGGACCATAAATTGCATCAGGGTGGACTTTTACAACCCGGCCAATATTTGTTTGCTGTTGGGAACTGGGCGTTTGAAATTCAGAAATGCAAGAACCTTGTGATCATAGATATTCTGTCAAGGTACTGGGAAAATATACCATGCATCCAAATTACTCTCTTGTGATTTTTTTTTTCCTGCTTGGGAAGCTGAACTCGTAAATCAACTGTGTTTGTTATTTCCCTATCAGAGAGAGTTTCAACCCCCCTCTCTTGAAATATTTGGCAAGTGTTGCATCTTTTCTGAGCATTTCCTGATGACTTTTGATATTGATGCAAGACACAGTGTATTCTCCCTTTATGCTGCAAGCTCGGATGTCCATTAGCTGCAATTTTCCAGAAAGGAATCTGTTCCTCCCTGCCTGATGACAGGCGACATTTTGGAGTAGTCTGGGATTATCAAGGGACACTGAAAATTCTCTGTCGGTGATTGTGGCCTTTTTTCCCCATGCCCCGGCCTTTAGCCGGCTCCAGGATTTTCCCCAGAGAATTGTTGGCAGTTCTTTCTTTGCTCGGTGATTTCAAAGGACATCCCCTCCATTGTATCTGCTTCAGGCACTGTGCAGACTCCGTAGGAGTGGATGTTTCTGTTCTCTCTCTGTATTTGTCATCAGGAAGAGACCAGCTTGGTCGGATCCATCCTCCAGATGTGGCATTGATCGCTTCCAGTGCATATTTTGGGGGCTGTGCCATCCTTGCTGTGTGGACGACAGCGACTCTGTCATTTTCAGCTGTGACCTATGTTCGATTCATCGCCTTTGCTGCAACGATTCCCATCGTAGCTCATTTCTCCGAAAAGAGAAAAAAAAAAAACCACATGGACAGCAGAAGTCAAGCCAGCGGACCAATAAAACCTAACATGGCCTTGACAGTGCCTTTGTGATACGCTCATGTAGACTGTATTTGAGGGAAACCCATTGGGTGTGCACAGCACACAGTGGTGTGTCTGACAGCAGGAATTTATTTAATGCTTGGCCGCCCGACCGTATCATTATAAGCAAAGCGAAGCCCTTGTGTGAAAGCATCAGACCAGACGCACATCAATTTTTGTGTAGATAAAAATTTTGAGCGCATGAGATCATGGAGACTGACGTCTGTGACTCGCCGCTCCCCACCACTCAGGTCCAGGAGGCTTGCAACGACCACGACGAGGCGCAGGAGCTGGAGCGAGTGTTGCTGGATGCGGTGGCGACGGGCGTGAATGGAGAAGACGCTGGGGGCCACAGGGTCACAGCAGCAGCAGCAGCGGGGGAGGATGGAGATGAGCAAGAGATTGGCAGGTGAGGCTTTTTATCATCATTGGCTTGCGGTTGAAGACCAGGAAAATGAGCTGTCACAGACAACAGTGATTTAAAAAATTACTTCCAAAATCAGGAAAAATTCAAGTTTTTCAGGAGTTGACGATACACATCGAATTTAAAGCTCATTTCCTCGTCTTCCTTTCTTTTTTTTCAATTTTTACTGGGTCGACCAATGACACTTGGAAGATTTTCTATTCACAGATGATCATCCCTCAATACGCTCACGAAGCCCATCGCCATTTTGAAAATTGATGCCCGCACTCCATTGCAAAAAAGAGCCACATGTATTTGGAGGGCGTCATTTTGTCCAAATTTTTTCAGATATACAAGCTGGCAGTCTGGCTGGTAGCTACCACCCTTCCTGTTTGTACAAACCGTCCAGTTTATGTGCCACAAAATTCTTTAAAAGCAGGAAATCTGACAGCCTGCGAATTGGCATTTGGTCCTCGCAGGTAGTTTGTGGCCTGCATGTATTTACTGGCCTACTACCCTATGCCTCAGTCTATAAGTATAGGCCATGCACGTGATGAACGTTAAAAATTGAGATGTTGAAGAATGATGGCCGTTATAAATCTAATGTCAATTTCATTGAGCTGCTTAAGCACAAAATTTGCTTCAGTGTGAAAAAACCTTGCTTGATAAATAAGGTTACCAGCCAAAACTCCATGTGATGTATATTGTCGTTTGGTTAGCATGGCAATCACATAGATTTTGAAGTGGTAACCTTGGTTTTTAAGGCAATTTTTGTGCTTAAGCAGCTCTATGAAATTGGCCCTGGTTGTTCTCACATTGCCATTTCGGTATCGAATCTTGATCAGCTCAAACATTTTAAGTGCTGTAGAAAAGCTTTTGAAACATAATAACCCCCCCCCAAAAAAAAAAACTGGAAAGGGCCTGATGAATTGTTCTTTTCGTTCATTGAAAAATAGTAATATTCACAGGAGAATTGTCAAGATGAGAAGGGTTTTCATAGATACAGTAGGGTGGTAGCCCAATATTGCCTCTGTTTTTACAGTTGCTGTAATCGGAGCCTTTGGGCCAATTGCCAGTGTGTACTTTCCGCTGTACAAGTAGTGGCAAATCAAATCATTTCAGCAAAAATGTTTTCCCAGTGTATTGAATTACTCTGAGTGATATAAATAAAGAACATCATGTCTTTGAAGCTTGGCCCTTTTTTGAGACATTTAATTGAAAAAGCAACTGACGGTTGACAAGTCACAAGCATGTTGTTAAAAAGATGGATTCTTACGGGGACATGGAACTTGTTGATAAATAACGTGCATGTTTGTCATCAAAATTTCCCTTTATCTAATGTTGCAGTTTAGTCCCCAGACTCCTTAAAATAACAAAAGTGCTGTATTGTGTGTTTCCAACAATCTCTCCAGACACCCTTTCCAAGTCACATTGCTTTGTTCAGTCCTTGGAATAAGACAAGTCATTCTCAGAGCCTGTAGTAGTCCACAGAAAAACATGACACAATCTGGCTTAATAGGGAGAACATACATGTATTTCCTAAACTGGACAGGTGGCAGAACGTGACCATTTCTACTGCCTACGTCTGCTCACGTAGCAAAAAGGCTGGTATCACCCATTCGCTTAACAGTGAAACGAACCGAGTGAAAAATTCACTGGCAATTAAAAAAAAATTCCAGACGGGCATTTATACTAACAAAACAGATGATGGGGGAAAGGTCATAAGCTACGTGTATTTTGAGCACGTCTCTCAGTTGTTTTGATTATGGGTGCGGTCACAGTAAACCAGGGTTCTTTGTTGGAAATAGCACCTTGGAAAAAGTGGACTCAAACCTATTAATGAGCACAATGCCCTCCCCCTTGCAAGAGATTTACTCATTTTACTGGTTCTCCAGCGATCAGTGCCCGGTGATATTGATAGTGTCACCACTTGGGCTGTTATTTAATTTTTCTTTTTACCTCGGAATGTTCTTATTCTATATGTACAACACTGAATAGTGTAAAGTGTATGCTTGTACATGTGTACATGTACTTTGGGGGAAGGGACGGGGCCCTTGAGGAGGGATCTGACACTTCTTTCATCCGTTCAACATGGTTGCAAAACTGTACATCTGCACACGTACATATGTAAAAAACCAACTTCACAAAATGAAATGTATTAGGCATAATCATAAGTGATCCCGTTTCAAGATGTACTCTGCATCGGGGAGATGTTAATTTTAATTACAGGTTGTTCCCTTACCCGTCGTATATATTCATAAACACTGTATACTTGAGTTCCACCCTTGTATAGAGGGATTCCAATATGACGCTTACAGCGTTGATCTGGGCACTTCCGTGGTTTGAAAACGAGGCTGTATGTGTCAGCTTCAATTCTTAATACGATCAGACGATTGAAAGTAAGGAGTCAAGACACAAAATGCATAAAGGTATGTTAAATTCAGACTTTTCAGGCTGCAAAATTTTATGGAAAAGTCTTTCAGGATGACTCGACACGTAAAATCAAAAGAAAAAATAACGGCAATTTAGCGCGAACTAACATACCTGCGATGGTTGTGCATCTGCATGTGCAGTGGGCGTGGTTTAAACCGAAGGGGCGTCACACTTACGAACCCGGATACTGCATGTACTGTGTCGACTTTGCGGGCGCTCGCGATGAAGTTCAACACAGACAGCCTCGTTTTCGATGCGGATATGTGCAGACGGCGCTCATGTGAAATCCCTCTATTAAGCTTGTGATTTTTTTTGCAAGCTCTCGGACAAACACGGAGTATACAGTGTTAAGAAAAATAGATACGTCAGGTAAGGGCAAAACCTGTAATTAAAGTGATCCCGTCTTACCCCATAAATTTAAGTCATTATTTGTGGGTCTGCTTGTGGTTTAGAATTTTCAAAAAAGACAGAGATGAAACAAATCTTAACAGCGTGAGAATAGAGTTCATGAACTTGTCTCACAGACGGACAGCATGAGCATGTCCTTGGTGTCTTCGTTTGACAAGTGGACTAAACAGCACTCTGTTTTGGCGAGCAGACATCGCATGTAGACAGTGGAGTGTACATACGCCCCAGTCGTAGACAATTGACAGTTTCAGTATCCAAGTTAATTGTCCACATGACACAACGTGTACTGGGTATGTGTAAGATTGCAAAAACTTTTGGCATGACTCGCACGCCCGTTTGTGATGATGCTCACGGCAGTGTAGCAACATTGGTGGTGCGCATTTTTCAAAAACAAAATTTATGCACCCCAAATTTAACTTGAAGACACTACTATCCGAAGTTGCTTCCATGTCGTCATCCTTGGGGCTTCTCCGCATTACATACAAGACAGCCTCAAGTGATGGTGTCATCAGCAACAGAGATAGGAATACATGATAAGTGCATGCATTTTCTGTTTGCTGAAACTGTCTAATGTCAATTCAACAAAGTCAGAATCGACCTTGGATGAAACGTTGCAATTTCACACAACCAAGGTCTCACCAAGGCTAAACTAGCCGTAGGAAATAGATTCCATCCACTGGCTTGGTCTTATGAACCAGTGAGATCTGGTAGAAGACCAAGAAGTCTGAAATCATCAGATTCTGAATCACAAATAAAAAAGTTTATATAATTTCAATGTAAAGGCTGATATAATTGTTTTAATGAGCTGCTGACACTGCAGTTTCCTTTATGGATATTAAATAAATAATAGCTTTATGAAAAATACAGTTGTTACATTATCTGCCAGCTGTTAAAAATTCAGAGAAAACAATGGAACCACACGAGCCACGCAAATTAAACATTTGGGATTGGAAATTGTGTGAACAATTCTATTGTAATATGACACATGCCGTATGACTAATATAATGAGGATAATATACGTGCAGTGTTTCACGGATGAAGTGCCGGTAGCCTTCATCTCTGCCTCGACAGCTGGTATCCTGAACCTCGGTGGCCTCTGTGCCACATCCTGACAGGATCTGCCTGCAGCCCGAGGATTCCTGCCAACTTCCTGTGTGACAGGAAGTCAAAGTTGGCAGGTCAGGGGTCGCCGTAAGCTTTGAAGTTTTTTTTCAGCTGCAGGCTCTGTCCCCGTTGAAAAGTTGTTGTGAATATTCCGCTCCACAATGCCGCACAGGTGTTCTTACCAAAAACGATTCTCATCTTACTGTTGATAGCCTGTTGGTAGTATGAACATGTATTAGAAATTGCTGCCATCGTCAGGACTGAACAAGCACATAGTTGCAATCAGATCATTGTCACTTGACATAGGGAGTAATAAATCAATTATTTCATACACTCTCCTAAACGGGTAAATGTTGGTACAGTATTGTTTAAAGATAACACCATGTGTAAAAAGCTGAAGCCGTTTTGGTCCAACCCTCCTCCAGCCACAGGAGGGTCTAGTGTTTGGAGTTAAAGCTCCCTGGGTGTCCAGACAGCATCGCAGTGTTTCGACTTCTGTCTAATGCTCTGCTTTTCCATCACGTGGCTGAACCAGTTAACGTCGGATTTTCTTACCCGAAAAAGCTGCCGGGGGCGGGTTTCTTTTCCTGCAAATTCTTTGAAATTGCAATTTGTTTACGACACAACCAAGCACGACCCATTAATACATGTACATCGACTGTGTAAATGAAAATAAAAAGTCTGAAAAGATTGTACAGGTATGCATGTACATCCTCCGTGGAACCAATAAGGAAAATTGAGTGTTTACACGTCATCCGGCATCATGTGGTCAAAAATAGTTGGGACTGCTGAAAAGCTGACTAAAGCCAGTTATGTTTCCCAAGATCTGTTTGGACACTGTATCCTTGTTGCTCCACTTGTGAACCCTCCTTCAGTATGTTGTTTTTAATATGCATTTTGCCAGTTAACTGAACCAGAACTGTGACAAACTTGAGATGCTCAAACGAATAATGCTCAAATGAAAAGTTACTCCAGAGTTAATTAAGACAGATAATTTGGATGTGTTGACCACATCCTTTGCTGGGTGTGGAAAACAACCGGCCATCAAATCAACTAACTGTGCCTGTTTCAAGGTTCTTGCACCTAGGACAATTAAATTCCATGACTTTTCCATGACTTCAGTCATTTTTACAAAATTCCATGACTTTTCCATGACTTTAGTCATTTTTACAAATTTTCATGGCTTTTTCATGACTTTTCCAGGCTGCAGGGACCCTGCTTTTTATGACAGTAGTCACTAGCCATCAATGAAAAAATCAACTGCTCTATCAGTGTGTAAATAAAATGATTTTAACAAGTATCAAATAAACATTGTTTTATGCCAGTCCTATACTCCATAACTTTAACATTTTGAAAGATCAGGAAAGTTGAAATTTATCCTCAAATAAAGAAGCTTGGGAGGCATTATTTTCCAGTTTAAACTGTCTTACTGTCAATAAAAAGATTTTTAACAAGTATCAAATAAACAAAGACAAAGATTTTTCTCTCACTCTTTACAGAAATTGTCAGAACATCTCAATAGAGTCTGATTATACTGAGATGACAGGGGGCATTAGGACATCCACCTCTTTCCAGGAAACCTCTTACGAGTCAATGAAATTGGATGATACCTACAACGATGCTGACATCTACGTCAAAGATCCTGTAGACAGACGCCCTTCTGTCTTGCCTTATCAGTTGACCACGGATCAGATTCACATTAACCAAGCCAAGTGTACTCCCCCTGCTTCCTCCAGAGACAGCAGCAACACTGAACAGCACAGGACCAGTGGTGAGGTGTTTGACGATCCCATCTATGAGACAAAGATAGAGACGAAGGAAGACTTGGACGTTGGGAGTCGAACCTCGCGTGCACCTGCGGAACCTCCGCCCAGGACTAGCTCACTGAGTGGCATGGATGCCTCAATTGGCCAATCAGGCGTCGGGGCCCTGCCTCCTCCGCCCCCTCCACCTCCGAATGGTCATATGACATCAGGCATGCCAGCAGCTGAGGGTGACCATCATTTGCCCCCTCCGCCCTCCCCTCCACCCATTGCAGACTTGGAGGAGGCAAACATCCCCAGTGACTTGCCTCCACCGCCGCCAATGGCTGACGTCAGTGTGGAGACCAAGCAGAAGATCTCCAACATTCGAAACATGTTCCTCCAGGAGGAGAAAAATGCAGATGTCCCCGCTGAACAGAAGAGGTGGAGTAATACACCCCGATTGACTGAAGAGGGCGAGGGTGAGGCACCCAACAAGGCTCGCATTGCGGCCTTCAAGGCCAAGCTGGAATCTGCCGAGAAGGAGTCGTCCGTCCCCGAGAAGCGACGGAGCCGACCGCTGTCGGAAGTCCAGGCCCAGTTCTCACCCTCACAGGAGGTGACCAACCGGGAAGTGGCCGCTTCCAGTCCGGGTGGGGTCAAGAAGCGACCCCCCGCACCTCTTCGAGATCCAAATACCCGGCTAACAATGGCCACTGACCAGATGGTGGGATACCATGAAAAGAAACAGCGTGCTGTGTCCAGCTCAGACATGCCAACAAATCAGTTTGTCTTCCCCTCGTCTGTGCCATCGGGGAATTCGAGACATGCATCAGACTCTCATGGGATGAGCATCCCACCACCTCCAGTCATGCCTGCTCCCCAACCGCCTCAGCAGCCAGTCTACGGCAACGTCGATCAGCCAGGTTACAGTAGTCGCCCCACTTCACAACCTCCGCATGGTCATGTGAGCCAACCAATCTATGGTAACGTAGACCAACCGGGCTATGCCAGCACCAACCAACCAATCTACGGCAACATTGACCAGCTGGGCTTCGAGTATGACCCATCCTTATATCAGAACATTCCACCCCCGCCCACGGAACCCCCACCTCCTCCTCCGACAAACTCCAGCAACGTCTTCACCCAGATTCCCGGAGCCATCAGATCATCCAAGGTGCCCGTCCCACCACCGGGGCCAGTAGGGGGTGTGTCTGCACCCCCTCCACCACCACCCCCAGGCCCGGCACCCCCACCACCCCCTGGGGTACCCCAGGCGCCCATGGCACCCCCTCCCCCACCACCTCCGACGGCATCAAGCATGGGGACTGGGGGTCTCTTGGATGGCATCAGGAATGTGAAACTGTCATCGGCCAGCAATGGTGAGTCTCTCAAATTTTTTTTCACAAGAAGTACTGAGAGGTAAAAAGGTTTGTGGTAGCACCATGCAAGGATATCTCCTGAGTAGATGTGATTCTGAAAAGAAGCGGAGGATACTCGACGTTTCGGACAGTATGCTCTCTCCATTGTCAGGAGTCTCCTGACGGTATGCCCTGTCCATTGTCAGGAGTCTCCTGACAGTATGCTCTGTCCGTCGTCAGGAGACTCCCGAACTCAGGAAGAGCGTACTGTCCGAAACGTTGAGTACCCTCCGGTCCTTCTCAGAACCACTTAGTCAACAAGAGATAGTTCTACCGCAAACCGTTTTACCTAACTTGCCACCTTCACCGTGAAAAGATTCAAAGCTCTCGTTGCAAAATCCAAAACAAATTCATCTTGTGTTAGTAGCACTGGATGAGCATGCATTATCTATATTCCATTCAATAAACTCGGTTCAGCGATCTACAGATACAGCAATTTGGAACCTTCTGTCACTGAGAAAAAAAGAGTCCACCCTGTATTGGCTGGAATTTTTACATCTGTCTGCATGTATGTGGTTTCATTTCCCTTTTTGTCCTCACCTTGCCAGGTGTTGAGAGGGAGCGCAAGAAGTCAGAGGCTACCATGGATAACTTGGTGGCCGAGCTCTCCCTGGGTACCCATAGGCTCCGCCCAACCCCCAAACCCATCAAGGGCCCAGCGACAGAGGGACAAGGTAAGGGGAAAGTAAAGGAGTACGGGAGGTTAGGTGATGACGGGGCAAAGCTGGGCAGTTTTTGCAAAAAACCTTTATGTGGTCAGTTCCATTGGACTGCTTTTTAAGCATTAACATTCGCTAGGCACACCAAATATTTGTTTCAGGTCCAGTAAATAGTTCAGGTTCCCTTATAATGTGTTCTGAAATCTCCACTCAGGGACTGTTGGAGCTAGCAAGTACCATTTAGAGGGTTTTCTTCATGCTATTCTCAATTGGGCCAAATGTTCTACCACCAGGAAATTCCCTTACATGTTGATAAATCCTTGTTTATTTGAACGTTCTGTGTTGAACTTAATAATTACTGTGCATAAAGTGAACATATCCAGACGTACAAATTTCCCACTTGCTTGCCTCTCCATTGACCCCCATCTTGTCTGTACAGTGACAGATCCCGATGAGCCAGCCTGGATTGTCAACAAGCGTCAGCCACCCCAAGTCAGCCCCACCAAACCCTCCAAAACCCCGCCCAGCGCCGCGGCCAAGAGCACTGCCCCAAAGAGTCCAGCTCACGTTCCCCTGTCACCTTCTGTGGCACCCAAGCCCCACAAGGCCAATGGAGCCCCACCCCCAAAAGAGGAACTGCTCCCGCCGCCGCCGCCGCCCCCAAGTGCTCCCCCGTCGGCACCCCCTCCAGGGCAGCAGGGCCAGGGAGTCAAGAAGGCGAGCATGGCTGCCCCGCCTTCTCAGGCGGCAGCTGGAGCAAACGGTATCCCTCCTGAGGAAGACCTACCTCCTTGGAAGAGAGCCATGAAGGAGAAGAAATTGAAAGAGCAGCAGGTGAGAACAGTCTTGGAAATAACAAGTGTTTTCAATTAATTCACATACTTGTCAACTCCAGAAACTCCCACGACATCTGGCAGTACTTGAACTCACACAATGGTATGGGTTCTTGGCACAAGTACCGGCCTCACTGGTCAAGAGGAGAGGAACTAGTGCTTGACCATTCAGTGATTGGGTGCTCGGTTCCCACGAGAAGACAAACACTGCACACTGTACCACACACTCTTACATTTGCATCCTTGTGGGAAATTTTCCTTTATCTCTCGTGCAGTGAAAGCTTAGTGTGTGAAGCACAGTTTTTAATTGCTTCCATTTGGCCCTGAATCATTTTCCTGTGCTGAAATATGAACGCCCTTCACATGTACATAAAACACTTAAACGTGTACCAGATAAACACACTTTGAATAGTCCTTATTTTGATTAAAAAATTTCCATTTTTGTGAAATTCTTGTAGGGTACCATTTCAGTACCCCACAAGTACAACGATTGTTCCTTGTGGGGTACTTCCAATTGTTCTGGTACCCCACAGGACACCCTAAACACGTTCATGTTAGTGCACACTGTGTGCCACCCAGGGGATTTATCATTACTTGGTCGTAGCACTCTCAACCCTTAGAGACTCTGGCTCAAGAATGCTTTATAGGCCTAGTGAGCAGGGGGTAGTCATGTGGTAGCCCCTCAACACCAATAATTGTGGAAATGTACTCTTACAGCGTATATGAGGCCAGCTCTGTCAAAATGAGCCATGAGGCCATTTTCTGCTCCAGTAAATCAGTTTCCGTTTGCATCATAGAAAAAGCAAGCTTAGCGCTTTATTTTGATGGATCACTTTAATTAATAACTTGGCATCCGGAGGCAAATGGGCAATATGTCGATGAAAGATGTTTACTGTTCCTGTGGATTTTGTAATGCAAAATTCTTTAAGGGCCCGTTACCCAAAAGTGGTTCTGGCAACTTAACTCCTATTTTCACAGAGTGGGTTATATGTAAGCGATGCACTCTAAACATTTCAGCTAGAACCTGGGAAGGATTCAAACTACAGTAAACTCTGGCTAAGTCGGCACTCTCGGGATTCAAGAAATCATGAGGACTTACGCGAATGCCGGCTTGCGCTGTAAACCATCATTTTGCTGACTTATACACGTACACATGTATTGCCTCTGTACATTATGATTCCTTGCACTAATTCAATGGCTTTAATTTACCCTGATTTATTTCTACCTCCATGGTTGATCCCAGCAAATTCGTTCTTGATTATTATCCTCACGCGCTGCAAATTTGATAATTGATCATGTGCCCCTAAGGATGAAGCAAGGACAGCAAGCCACTTGCATATCACATCACGACTCGACAGTGCACGTACGTGATACAGTTACGGTTCAGAAAGCATATACTCATCCGCATACGCATTGGTTAAGTTCGTTCAATAAGGCGACCCCCAAAATGGACAGAGTGCATGCGTGTAGCACTAGAGGGGTTACCGATATTGATGTACTCATGCTGGCTGATTATCAACCACGTTAGCAGCCTGTGCTGCTAATAAACAGACATCAGTCAAGCAGTGTGGGACTTGTCACTTCTTGGCAACCATGGCGAAGGAAACTGATATTGAAGTGTGATTTTTTTTTAATGCCGACTTACACAAAGGAATTTTTGTGGTTTTGTGGAAAAAGGACCGAGAAAAAAATGTCGACTTGTACAAAATGACGACTTATAAATGCCGACTTAGAAATGAAGTTTTCAATGGGAATGCATTGCAGACGATCGGGACTTTTGTCAAAAGGCCGACTTAGACGATATGACGAGTTACGTGTTGCCGACTTAGTCGGAGTTCACTGTGTGTGCTTTCTTTCCCTCAGGAGAAAGAACAGCAAGAAGCTGCCAAGAAACAGGAAGAGGAAGCAAGGTGGAAGGACATCCCAGAGTGGAAGAAGAAGATGATCCTGGAGAAGGAGCGGAAGAAGGCCGAGGAGGCGGCCGCTGCCGTAGACCCGGAGAAGGAGGAGCGGGAGGCCAAGCTGAAGGCCATGCCCACTTGGAAGCGGAACCTGGTCATGAAGAAGTCTACACCACAGGAGGATAACAACAACGGTGTGCAGCAGTAAGCGCTTGCAGGAGAACAACTCGCTCTGGAAAGAGATAAACTGTAGAGGAAGTCGACAAGGCTAGGCAAAAGCTTACTATGCACGTAGTCAGAGTCAAGCCCCATTTGAGAATGGAGCCCAATCAAGAACCAGTCACGGTGAAGGAATGTTATGATGGGCAGACGTTATGAGCTCAAGGAATTAGCCCCAAGTCTGGAACAAGATTACAGATTGATAAACGAACGGCAGTACACTTTGGAGACATGTATGAAATACAAGGCGCCAGCTTGGATTTTAGTCTCATCCATTCTTCCAACTTGGTAAATGGCAGCGGCTAGTGTCAGAGGGTAAAAATAAAATCTTTTATCTTTATATGACTGACGGTAGCACAGTGTAAATCTTAATAAGAGATCATGATAAGTTTTGTCTTCTTTTAATAGTTTGACTTGATTGCGACTCGGGATGAAGAATTCCCAGGGGAAAAACTCTTGTGTCTCTTGATGGTTTTGACATGAATCAAAAAGGAAAGAGTGCATTTACCGTACATGCACTAGCACGTGGAACAAAAGTGTTGCGTTGTGTTTTGTTTCAAGCTGACCTTTTTGGTTCACAAGCAACTTTCACCAAGCACAAAACAGAAACAGCAAGGATAACATGGAAAAAAAAAACAGTTTTACTGGTGAGGTGTTTTGTTATTTTATAACATTGCCAGAAGTTTCCCAAAGGAGGAAATTGTCACTACAGTATGTATAACCACAACTGTGCATATCTGAGTTACAATATTTACCAGTTACATTTTTGGAACTTTTTTATATACGTGTATTAGTTCATTGTCGTCAACCGCTTACTGCAAGATTAACAAAAATTGATTTATATATTTCTGTTCGCTCATCTTTTATGTATATAATTGTATTAATGGAAAAAGAGGAATCTTGGTGCTTGATAATTATGATCAATATGCTTGATCAATATGAAATCAATATGCTTGATCAATATGAAATCAAAACTGATGCAAATAATGAACGATTAAACGAATCTCTCTCGAAGCTTATCTTTGCTTTTTGGTGCTGTAGCATTTTCACCTAAACTTGAAATGATTTCACGGACAGCTTTAATGGTTTTTACCGACGACCATTCCATGCAGCTTTTGTCTCTGGGATTCTCCATTCACAGACCAATTCAACTATACCTATCATTCCAGTTCTCCATTGTGAGCGGACATTTCCCCAAGGATTAACCTCCTTTTATCCCCTGAACTCTCCCGTGCAAGTTTTCAGCCTGCCAGGTCCTATTTTCCTCCCCCCCTTCAATATTCCTTACTTGGCTGTGTCCGTGAAAACTGAATTTCACTCAGCAACTGTCATAAAAGTGGGCTGGTCCCATCTTCTCAACACTTCAGTAATACATTTTCATATAAACTGTACGTACTTGTGCTATGCAGAATTTTGCTACAGAATGTCGAAGAAAATGGAAGAAAAAAATGGAAACGAAATGATCTCAAATTCCATTATAAGTCTTGCACAGTATTAACCTATTTTTATCTCTTCTGCCATTTACAACTAGAACTTAGAAAATTACACTTGTATTTTGTAATGTAGAGTATCCTACATTTGATGCATTAATGATGGTAATGGTGTCCTTGGGTATGAGGTTAAATTTTGTGTTAGGTTATAGGTTTAAGCTCTCCTCTCTCTGTTAACCACTTAGCGCCGGTTGAGCCCATATGGGCGACATTCTTCTGATCCACACAGCCGGGCGGCCTTAGATGGGGACCGGACTGACTGCTATGAGTCACCATAAGCTGTAATCCTCCTATTGTAAAGTACAATGGCATGAAGTGCCACAGCGCTCGCTCGAGGCCAGCCTGGCCATTGTTTGTCGTTCCTGGCAGGGCCAAGGGCGATCAAAGAAGCCATTATGTAACAGCCTAATAAACATAACAATGGCATTTTTTTAAAGCGCCCGACAACGATTCATATAAAAGTATGATGAATACGAATGTCAAAATCAAAATCATAAAACACCGCCCGGCAGCTTGTAGTTCAAGGGAACTTTTTACCTGGCCTGAAGTGGTTAAAACAGCAGCAATGTACATGATGTGTAGTATTGATTAACACACACTGTATCTACATGCATTGGAAAGTCTAATGTTGTGGGTGTTTGAAATTATATACATGTATGTAAATAATAGGGTGTGTGACCTTATTTCTGTGCTTGTACATGTACATGAAAAATGTTCAAATCTGTAACAAATGCAAGCATGTCAAAGATCTCTTCCAATTCCTATTATGAGGTGTAAAAGTAATGTTTAACCCGTGACTTTAACAGTATGGTAGACACAAAAAGTAAACATTTGATTTTATAAGTACATGTAATGCAGTTGAAAATATGCCCTTCTTGTGCTTGCGGGGCACGGATTGTTTTTTATGAAATGAGTTTGATTCACCAGGGTGCAATTGAGTTTTGTGTAATTTTTATAACTGTTTTCGATTATTTGCGTGGTTTAATTTTTGCCACAGTTCGGTAACTGTTGATGGCATGTAAAATGCTTTTTTTTTTACTTTTTGTAAAATCTGGTTTTAAAAATATGTGAATGTGATGAAAATGCTTACTCAGTTTCAGAGTGAACAGCAGGAAATGTTTTGCATTTGTTAAAGATGAAATCAGTAATAAGTCTTTGTAAATTATACATGAACTGTTTTCATTGGCATGTAAGCTTTCCTTCAGTTTTGCTTGTAACGACATAAAAGATAACTTACCAAATAAATACACACTGTCCATTCCGAACAAAATTTGTAAAGACTAAAGCTACATATATCTCCATCGCAGGTAATGTACGTGTAAAACTTGCAAATGGAAAGTTACCCTATTCTGAATATCAATATTTCTGCTATTAAAACTGTTACTTGACAAGACTGCCCCAGACAAGGCTGAAAGACCACATTTCATGAGTGACTTGAAAAGGCAGGGTAGAGTAAAATTCTCTTAAAGCATAACCGAGCATAATTACATGCATATTCTGCTGTTTTTTCAAAGAGGTACAGTTAACCGTTCTCACTGTAAGACAGTGTATCCACACTGAAACAGGATCAAGAAAATTGACGTATAAAATTTGCCACTTCCAAGTCCATTGACATGTATCTTCCAGTAAAATACTTGATCAGCAGAAATTAGGGCATAGTACAATGTAACTCCAACACTGTAGTACAGGTGTTTAAGCAATTTTAGAGAGCATATTGTACTTTTCTGTGCATATTTCAGTGACAAAGATTCTGCATGTGCTGTATCAATCCTACTCATGTTCCTTTCATTTTGGTTCTCAAGGTAGGGATTTTAAATCACAACATCCATTAATTTACGGTAAGTGGGCTGGTCCCATTTTGGAATTATTTTATGTTTTCACTTTGTTATTTTTCATATGCTTTGTCATGAAGTTGCTAAATTTTGCTGATATTTTTGAGTTTTGTATGTTGTTTTGACAAAAAAAAATCATGCCTAGCAGAAGTTAACTTTTAAAAATGGTATGCATAATAATTCTGGCATTTTGTGGATATTTTCTTGAGCTCTATTTAATGATGTAATATTGATATTAAAAAGAAGAGCAAAAAGGTACTTAATCCAATTTTCCTTGAGTCCAAATGCTTGTATTCAAGCGATCTAGATTTTTTTTGTGTGTGACTGTTGCAAGTTCTGGCAAAATTGTCGCTAAATTAAGTGTCCCCGATTTTGTGTAAAAGTTAATCAACTTTTTCAAAACTTCCAGACAAGCATCAATCACTTCAATTTTTTTTCTGGTCACTTAAGTGACAAATTGACCACAGTGTCGGGAAAAATAGCTCCTCAGAAGTGCTGTGCGCTTTGGTTTATTCTTTGTAGACTTTTTATCCTTGTACTGTGCCCGGGGACTGAGTGCACTTTCTATCTTACCTGGCTGTGGCGTGAGTGAAGGGGTACTGGGTTAGGTTCTCATGGCCTTGAAGGCCTGTGGCAGGGCTGGCGTGCATGCTGTCACCAGGGCTATCATATCTGCTTGTGGCTGAGTAATGAACAGTTGAGAAAGAACAATTTGGAAAGAACAGGTGAAATGTTGAAAAGTAATGCTTTGAAATAGTGGTTTATTTTATTCCTGCGCCAGCTGAATGCTGTCTTTGTACGAATGCTGTGGTGAAGCCCACAACAGCGAATAAGCCTTTGTATTAGTGTTGTAATCAGCACAGTTAGATGGCCCGTGGTGGCTTCAATGACCTGGATGCTGATCATGGAAACTGTAAGTCCAGACTTTTTGTGTATGGGGCATTTTTGTTTTACACAAATCTGGATTGCGATGAGTGATCCTGACGCTGGTTCGCCATCCATGAAGCAGGTTCTGGAATTGGTGATCCGCCAGGTCACTGATTGCGATCTAGATCCATGTGAAAAAAAACAGGCCTGTGATGTGCATAACCCAGCCTAGCCAATCAGACTTCTCTTAAGACAGAACTGTTACCCAAAAAAGCAGCTCATTCAGTGAGGTCACGTATCTCCAGATGCATGCCTTTGTTTTTTTTTTCTCTTGCTTTTTTTATGTTCAAACGTGCTCCCACCGCCCCTGTAAAATATCACACCCAAGACAGATTGGCAGATATTTTTTAAACCCGCTCACCACGTGCTTGGAGACCTTCCTCTGTGTTTTCGTGATGAGTTTCAGGAGTCGTCTGTAGCTGCCTTGGTGCAGTTGCAGCTTCGTCTGGAAGGCTGTTAAACACAACCTGAAAAAAAATAATAAATTCAAAAAAGATGAGATGAGATATGAAACCTGTTTGGTATGTCAGCTAAATAAGCAGTAATCTGTGGAACCCTATACTATCTCAGAAAGCTGCTTGAAAACAGAGGCTCAGTTCTTTTCAGATCTTATTTTACTGCATCAAAATTTGTGACCTGATGAAAATTGCACTACAGAAACAGCAGAACTAAAGGTCGTTTTTTTCTGGATGCCTACATGTACATCTAACATTGTCACTGTGTGAATGGTTTTCGTAGTGATATAAAATATTCATCTTTCTATGAGATCAACTTTTGCTTTTAATATATGGGTCATTCCACGAAGTTCGGGCAGTTTGTGACGGCGTCCCTTGTTACATCGGTAACTTTTATTGCCCTTTATTTTCACATTACAACAGATTAAGTCATATTCAGCAAAGATGAAGCACACCACAACAAGAACCTAGCAAGATTTAGAACAATGTCAATTTAGAATCCACATGCAGGGAAAAAAGATGTTTATTTTCACTGATGTAACATGGGACGCCGTCACAAACTGTGCCCAAACTTCGTGGAATGACCCATGTATACAAGTTTTGAAAATGCAAAAACGGTTTGGGGGAGATTATCCAGAAAGATTGGAGTGTGTATCTTGAAAAGGGCATGTTTACACCAAGGAAATTACGCATATCCATACCACAATGTCCTTTGCGCCCATGTGCATATGTAAAAAAAAAAAAATATCCAAGACACACCTGAGAGAAATCCTTTCCTAATTGAGAATATGGACCCAATTAAGGACCTCTTATATTGGCAAAATGTCCAAGGGAGCCGTTGCAATAAAGATTATAGATGAATAGATGACAGATGTCAGGACATCTTTGATTATCTTAATATGAAACTGTAAGTGGGTGTGGAGACTGAAATTTCTGTCAACAACAGAGTTCTTTTACAGCCGACTTTTTTAATCAAAGAATAAATTTTACCCTTTATTTTTCTACTTTGCTTGATTAATAACCTTTGGTGGACGAGACTGACGTAATATTAAATATCCGGACAGTGAGTACAAACATAATGAGCAAATTTCTCTTCGTCAATGTGACTTCAAGGTAAAACTCATCACAATGCAATGACTCATACAGTGAATCTTTTGTCTCTTTCATCTCTCTCATCCATGATGGTCATTCACACTGAATATTAGCCAAGCAGTCTTGCACTTGCCATTGAAATGTCGGTGCAACTATTCCCGCATATCAAATGTACAGCACAAAATGGTAATAATGGTTGAAGAACGAAAATAACAATGCTTTGCCAATGGACTGCAGATCAGCTTTGGCGGCAGTCCATGTTTTGAGTTTCCTGGATTCCAAAGTTGATAATAACATTTGTAAAACATCCTAGCAGCAAGGGAAATAATGCTACAACTTCAGCATAACAAATCTGTAACCTTTGTGCAAGAGCGCAAGTGTGAATATCTTGACCCAGTTCCATAGAGCTAAGCGCCTTGCTAACCACAAAAAAATTTCCACTTAGGAAAAAAAAAAGACGACCGGGTTACCGGCCAAAAATGCCATTTCGGTGTACAGTGCCGGTAGCTGGTTTCCTACTGATTTTTCTGCTCAGCATGTGAAAATGTTCGGCAGTACATGTATTTCCTGCTTGGTGGTTCTTTGGAATTGACCCCAGCTACTAGTAACCGTTCGTTCCCTGGGAGGGTTTTATTGATGATGGAATTCAAAACAAAAACTCAGGTTTTTACCACTTTGTTTCAGATTTTCTGAGTGGGCATCCTAACCTGTGCAGCTTGTCAGTCAGTCTGAATAGAACACCTAAGGGAAAGAAAGACCATTGGACTTCAGGACAAATACTGGTCCAGTAATGCAGAAGAGTGTAAAATACCTGCCATCAGTCTCTCTATATGAAACCTTTCTGGAAAGCGATATGGTTCTGAATTTCTTTGCCCCTGTAGACCAATTGTGCCCGCTGAGTCTCGTGACCTAGAGTGGGTGTCACTCCCATAGCAAAGTGTGTTTTGCTGTTTTCACGAAGAGGCGCATTTAACTCTGGAAATGTGTGCCAATGTAACAATTTTACACCTGGCACGTGCTATAGCAAAATAGCACACATTTTTGTGAGTAGACAAAAGTCGCACCAATTTTAGCATTTTCACAAAGGGGGCGAATTTGTTTGTTTACAAAATAAACAATTTTAATTGACTTCAATAGATATTTTTTGGCAGTTCTGTGTCCTTTATGATCCCCTCTTTCATGGAGTATCATTGGTTAAAAGTCAAAGGAGTCCTAAATATTGGGAAAATAAGCATTTGAGTAAGAGACCAACTTCAAATATGATTTTCTCAAAAAGTCTTATTCTGGCGATATCAAACAAATCTATCCATTCATGAAAAGGGCAGACAATTTCATACCCTCTATAGGTCACCTGACTTACTGGCTACGATCGGTCAATTGCTTGTGGGCAAAATCTTGTCTTTCCTGGTACAAATGCACCAATTCCAAATCTAAAGCGATAAATAGCATTCACACACTAACAGCAAAATACATCATGCTTCCATAGCCCCTTGTGGCTAGCTTCGACACATTGCCCCCTTTGCTTCAGGCATGGAATCCATGAGATGCGTGCATCTGGCAACGGAAGTTGGCATACCAGTATTAATGATTTAGTGCCTGAGTAAAATGGCTAAGATGGTAATGAAGGTAACAGTACTGACGGCAGTGGCACGTCAGTCGCTGACGTCGGTCATCAGTCACCCTCATTAGTCACGTAAAATCATGTCCCCCCCTCCACTGAGCTATGAGTGTCAGGTTGGCGTAGTGGTTCTCTCCTCGCCTTTCACCTCCGCGGCCCGGGTTCAATTCCCGGTTTGATCCACATGTATGGATTGGGTTTTCATTCCCTCTCCAATTCCGTAAGTTTTAACGAGAATATTCTTCTGGGATTTTTCTCCCACCTCTGACACTGTAACTGCTTCTCACTGTCTCCATGATGAGCTACGGTGCCCAGGGCACTTTTGAGGAATTCTTGGTTTCATTCCCAGAAATACTTAACACCCTCACCCAGAAGCCTCCTTGGCGCACTAGTACCCGTCTTGCAGTTGTGAGGGAGAACTCGCAGCAGACTGTGAAATCTGAACGCAGACATCAACAGCAGTTCGTAGCAATTCCTCCTGATTGTGGGATGAATATTGACCTGCAAAATTTTTTTTAAAAATAACACTGCATTTCTACAGGATGCTTCTTCGACATTCGATTTGAAATACCAGAGAAATATGCAGATGGAAACCAAATTTTCAGGAAAAACATTACTACGTTTACACCATATCTGTGTAACAAGAAATTCACAAACAAAATTTCTGAAATTCAATTCTTTGTGAAGTTCTAATAAAATAAAGGCACACACTGACTTCCTTTATTCTAGCTTTGCAGTACTTTGCACTCTGCATGCTTAGTTCAAAGTGACAAAGAAGTCAAGACAAAAGTCCTCCTGAATTAAAAACTGGCGTCAGCAGTCTTGTATAAATTGAGTCCTAGCCAAAAGATCAAGGTGAGTACCCTGCCCTATGCACTTGTAAACCAGCACTAAATGCTTGAGGTACATAAATGTCGACCCCAAGGGAAACTGTTGCTGGGTAACACAGCGTACCCTTCATAGAAGCTTACCTCTGGGTCAAGAAAGAAACCAACACACTTGGCCTGCAGAGCCCTGGAATGGAAGAGGACAAAAAATCAAGAGAGAAATAGATTTCAAGCAAGAGAGCAAAGCATTAGAAACGTTAATGAATAATAGAAATCTAGAAATGTAAAAAGGAAAAAACCTGGTAACCACTGCTTGAAGGCTACAGTGACCTAAAATATACACCTCAAAAAGGTTCGAGGGTGTAGCATTTCGATCTCAGTGGAATATTTCTCAAAGGCAATACAACAGAGGCTTTAAAGCACCTTTCATGGTAGTTACCGTGCAATCAAACGAAGTATTTTTGAGACCATTTTTTGACTGAATGAGCACAAAAACCTGCAATACCTGCATGTGAATCGGCACATGTCTAACCATGAGTGCATGACAAAAACATTATCCTGGTATCTTAAACCAACAATAAGGTTTTATCTTCCCGTTCCTTTTTTAATACAGCAAAGTGTCTAAAGTCCATTGGAACATTTCAATGAAATAAGCTTTCAACGGTCCCTATCAATTTCTCAATTTCAGATATTTACTATGGCAGCACAACATTTTTTTTTTAATTTGTAGTCTCATGCAATGCATATCCTTTGTCACAGTGCATTTGCTAAAAGAGAACAAACAGGCAGGACAAACAGACTTTGTTATGTCCTGTCCAGTTTTGTTCCCTGGATATCCCAGTGTGTGTGGAGGTGTGCAATAATGCACCCAAAGAAAGTCAGATCGTTACTTAAAATTTCTGTCACACTGGTTGGGTCTATACCTGTGGTGGCCATTGCTATTTTAAACCTACTGTAAAAGTTTTGTACCCTGGACATCCCAGTGTGTGTGGAGGTGTGCAATAATGCACCCAAAGAAATTCAGATCAGTACTTCAAATTTCTATCACACTGGTTGGGTTTATACCTGTGGTGGCCATGGATATTTCAAACCTACTGTAAAAGCTTGGCCTTGACTTTACTGATGACGGCCCCGGAGCTGTCCACAGTCAGAGTATACCGTATGCCTGGCATAAACAAAAAGCAATCAATCAGGTATAATGGAAACATCTGTACGATTTTTTCCTTGCATCAAGATGACATGGCTGCAGTTCGGTCCATCATGAGTCCAGTCACGAGTCCTTTCCCAGGTCCCATCTGAAGAGCAGTCACAAGTGACAAGGTGAAAAGTGACAAGGAATGCTTTTGTCGGGGTTCGTGTTCTTAACCTGTGACTGGACTACTTGTGACGGACAGTGGACTTGCAGGGACTTGTGATGGACCCAACTACATAGGCCTACTGCAAATGCACAGGAACAAGAAACTTGATTACTGCTTTATATTCAGGTGAAGCTTCCAACGTGCAACAACGGTTTCTTACAAGCAACATCACAGTGAGCTGCAGAACCTGGTGCTATACTAAATGTACCTCAAATGAGACAAAAGGTGTGTTTCGGTTTGCATGAAACAAACACTGCTTCTAATTATTACAAATGTGAACAGATGCAAAGGTCAAAATCGCTCGCAAACATAAAAGGCAAATGTGTTCAAGCAATGATCAACAACCAAAACAGTTACCGGGTACGACACTCAAAAACACCCAAGCCAGTGCATGCATAAGAGAGCAGGTGGTTTGTTGGTCCCCACTTTATTATGTCAAGTTTGACTAAATTCTCAACACTTCTCCCCTTTTTTCCTACATTTAAAACAAACATGTCTTTTCCTTGGGCACATAACACTTTTGACAACGTGTATCTCATTTCAACAAGTATACTTACTTATTTTTTAAATTTCAGGGTTTTAATTTGAGGAGAAAAAATATTACCAGGGAAAGAACAATATTAGAGAAAATATTGTAAAGGAATAGTTGACAATAAACAACGGCCAACAGGTGGACAGACTGACAGACAAGCAGATTGACAGGTGAGTAGCGGGATTACTTACTAACATCCTTGTACCGGGTGAAGTCGTTGCACACTTCCAGCGTCTTTGTGTTGAACAAAAGCCCACACCACGGAAACATGTCTGTAAGGAAGGAGGGAAATCACCTGGCCATCGCTCCAAGGGAATGAATATCGTCAATTAATAAGCAGGTGTAATGTTTAGATCAAGGAGAGCTTTTTCATCCTTGTAGGGTCTTTTATCCCACAAGGAATTCTTCTCAGAAAGGAAGATTCTGCTGAGATCCAAACCTCATACCCCAGAACCCTTTGCAATGCACATATTTCAAGTCCCTTCGGTCTATTGGTAGTTGGGTCATTCCATGAAGTTGGGGCACAATTTGTGACAGTGTCCATTGTTACATGGGTTCCGTAAAAATGAACAGCTATTTCCCTGCCTGTGGATTTCAAATTGACATTGTTATACATCTTGCAAGACTGAATACAGGGGGGTGTGTTATTTTGACAGAGTAAACGACCTACTCTTCAGGTCATGGAAGACGGTAAAAGTTACCCACGTAACAAGGACGTCGTCACAAATTGTGCCCCAACCTCATGGAATGACCCAGTTAGCAGCGGCTAACTGTTTCTGTCTTACAGAAGCCTCGATAAAAAGCTCACCTTAACTCAAGAAGCATCATATCTAATCCCACCCCTTATTTTAGGCCCTCAAGGATGGATTAAAACAAGCCTTGCATGACAAACAACATTTTAAAATTAGTCTTTGAGTTTCTAGAATCCTGCTACTGGGGAAAAAAGAAAGTCTGGGCTTGTTTAGAAGAGATCATCCAACAAAAAAACAGACGGAATGTTTTGACCGTTACCTGATGGGCCGACGCTCTGGACTTGACGACCGTCAAACACAAAAGGGAAATTGGTCAGTGTCTTTGTTGGATTGGTCTGGCAACCGTACTCTGGTAGACCTGAGGAAGGGATCAGGGAGTACACTGTTTTCAAAAGACGGAAAGATTTATAGCATTTTCCAATGGCAGGAACCAACCGAACAAAGCAACTTCATAAAAGTGGGAAAACATTTCTTGGAATTTATTGAATTTCATGAGAGATTTTCAACAGATCCTTGGTTTGCCATCTTAGTGCAGTGCGTGTTACCAGGAAAACCTCATCCATTGAGTGTAAGTACCAGACGCAAAATGCCATTGTTTTGGATCTTCTATAAAGAGAATACAGCACAAGACCAAAAGATACCATTTAATAATACTCTGAGGAAAGATTCCGCTTTCTCGAGATTCGGTGTCACAAGCAAGAAATCATCCAGCAGTCGCATCATCAACTGCAGAGAACAAAACCAAAATGATGCAATGTCAATTGTGAGCTGACCAATGCCAGGAAGGAGATTATCCCTGAAGTTTTGAAATTTTTTTTTTGTATCTGCTTGACTAAAGAGTGACCCGTTTTGATTCAAACTCTGAATCCAATTCCTTTGGCTGGCATCTCACTTGAAACATAATCAAAAGAAGATGCTAGATCAAATTTGTCTTTGTAATGTTTATGAAACAAATTGTCATTTTACCCTGGTATCAAAAAAGCACATCTACAATTGCTGTCACTTGCATACAGTAACATGCCAATACTACAAACAACCACCAATGGAGATGTAGTTGAGTCTTATTTATCACCAAATATTGAGCAACTGGTTTGGAGTACAACAAAACACTGGCAGAGAACAGAAAATGATAACTGTTTGGAAGAAAAAATTTAAACCTGGGCCTTTGACCACATAAAAATACTTTTTCATTAAACTTTGGGTGAAAGGTGCTTGACAAGTACTTAGCGGGTACTTTCTGAAACCTAGCAGCCTAGTTCACGCAAGATTCTGATAGTCCAAAATCTTAGTATTCACAATAATTTATCCCTGAAGTTTTATCCATCCAAATAACGGCAGTAGAGTGGGTACTTATGGAGCACTTGGCTACAACTGTGAACTGGCAGGTAAAGATTTAACTACCACATCTACCTCGTCTTGTGTCATTGGAGGCAGGCATCTGGTTTCCATGGCAGCATAGAAGAAGTTGCAGAGCAAGGAGGAGACGGTGGAACCTTGAGGAATTCCCTTCTGCCTCAGGAAATGCCGGCCCCCAAACTGGATACAAAGGAAAAAAGAAAAAAAAAAAACACCAAAAAACACAAGCTTTAAGGCCAGTTCACAAAAACTAAGCAAATTTGACATACTAAAATGTTTCCAAATAGGTCACTTAGGAGACATTTTGTGGTAATTTTTTCAACATTAGGGAGACATCGGTCATAGGGGAGACATTTCAATGCCTCCCTAATGCTCCAACTACCAAAAGGAGGAAAGTTTTTAGTGTCCACATTTTGAGAGATGATAGATTAGGGTCTGAAAGGAAAACATGCAAAGTTTGGTTAAGATCGGATTAGGGAATATTGAATTATGGGACGGTAAAGTTTGAAAAATTCCTATGGGAATGTCTCCCAAGTGACCCATTTTCGGTAATGTAAATTATTATTATCATTAGTATTTTATTCATGCCAACACTGTACATTACAAAGGGATAGGCATTGGAAGGACAAAAGTAATAAAAATCACTGTGGTCAAAGGACATGTCTCCCCACACCTAGCCATGAGATAAAAACTAAACAAATATATGCATGTGCAAATAAGTGACCCAACACATCAAAATCAGGAATGCCTCACATTGACCTTTTGAGATATGTGCATGGCTAGACAGAGAATTTCATAAGCTTTCAAATGGTACATATTACAAGTGTGTGGCATCTTTGGTTCTCCAGTTATGATCTGATGAACATGACAAGTCATATGAAAGCTTCTTTCTGACCATGCACATGTACATATGGGGTATCTCAAAAGTGAATTTGAAACTTATTCCTGATTTTGATGTGCTGGGTCACATATACACCTGTGTATAAAATCGACATTTGACAGTTAATAAAAAACAGCAGTAATGAATAATTAATAAGGGTAACCCAAAATGTAAGACATAAAACATATAAGTATCAAAACAATAACTGACTGAATCTAAGACAAAACTGTACAGATGATGACATTACGAACATATTCAGGGAGATTAGACCATAAACGAGGAAACAGATGAAAACATGTTTGCACTTGAGTTGAAACGTGCAAATATTTGATCAGATATCACAAAAATCACACAATCGTACATGCTTGTTCTCACATGTGACATGGCCTCTTCCTAACTGGCATTTCATACTTTCCTCAATTTCGAACACAAAGACAAACTTCACGTCAATATTCCCAAGAAAAAAAACACGGAATCAGATTGGGGCCGATCAGCATTTTGGCCTGGGTGGGGTTCGAATCCCTGTCGCAGAGATGTGAAGTTGAAGGAAGTACCCCAACACAGGCCTAACTCCCTGGGTAAAGCTGTACCTGTTTCATATGTACGGACATTCCTTTGCTGGGGACAATGCTCCATTTCCTCCCACTATATGATAACTCCTCCGAGCTGGATTTTGGGGGATAATTTCCTGAATTATTCCTCCTGGATCTCCCATGGACATTCCTAGCCTCAAAATACCTCTAAATCTTATTGTCAGTGAAGGGAAACACGTACTGTGTGGACGTGTGAGCGAGTCCATACATCTCCCCACCCTGCTGTATGTAGACCTCTTTTGTTTGTTTGAAACATTTGTGTATACAAACGCAACACACTGTTCCCCCCCCCACACACACAAAAATATACAATTTAGTCCCTTGGGACACAGTTCAACAATATGGAGGTGCATTCAACAGTCAGTCCTGTTAGAGATAAAAAGCCCAGACTCTCTCAGAGATCACCGCGGGGGGCCACTCTCAGTTCCTGTCAAAGTATCCCAGAGAAGGACACTCAGGAAACCCGACTGATAAGCTGGGAATGTTCACACTATGACTTCCTGATACACAGGACAATGAGCACAAAGGGGTTGTCAGTTCCAATTGGCTACTGATGCTCACTGTTTCCTCTACCTTTGGCACTGTCGCGAGTCCCGTTGATGATAGTGAGCCACTGACTGGCTGACCCGCTGCTTACATAGGGAAGTGCATGCAAAAATAATTTTCGGTGCCACGCAGGTATGTACTCTCTTGTTGGCATTGTGGAGGACCATTGGTGTCCTAAGGTAACTTTAATTTGGTGAGATTAAAAGTGATGGTTCTGCGTCCAACCACTCAGTGGTGCTAGCTTACATTATACATATACGTGTACTGCCATGCTGTTAACGATAAATTTACATCCTGTGTGATATTGTTTTTTCATCGTATTTACAGCTGTTGGTTTCATGTGTTGTGTTTTTCAAGCATTTTGCTTGGTTGATACTGGTAGTTTTGTTCTTTACTCTTACGAATCTGAACAAGCATCGTTTCAAGCGAATTTGTTTTTTTTAATAAACCTGTGTGAATGATGGTGACAGACACAGGTCTTCGGGTAGTGGTATTCACTCTCTTGTCTTGTTTTCAAAATCTTGGGGAGACAGGTTGACAGCTGGAACATGGATAATGATGGTATTGAAAATGAACCAGGCCGTGAGGTCAAGGCAGGTCAACCTGATGGTCAAAATGGACTGCCGACTCTAGGCAAGAAATGGACGCTCTGGATGGATATCAAGCAAGGAGGTTGCCTCGGTGAGCAGGGCGTGGTAGGGTACTGCATGGATGTTGCCGTGCACTCTGACGGCAGCATCATCATCGCCGACACGGAAGGCAACAGGCTGATCAAGCTGGGGCCCTCAGGGGATCAGCTCCGATGGGTCCACCCAGAGGCTGACCAGCCGGGCTGCATAGACAACCCAACCGGCGTGGCGGTCAATGCAGATGATCAGCTGCTCGTGCTGGATGACAACACCTCCCTTAAGATCCTGAGCCAGGAGGGGGAACTGGTCCAGCAGTTCACGCCCTTGATGGAGTCTGGAGGTGTCCCATCGTGCATTGCAGTGGATGGCCAATGTCAGATAGCCATTGGTGACGAAGAGAACGATGTCATCATGCTTTTCACCCCCAAAGGCTCAGTTATAAAGACTATTAAAGCTCCCATGATCGCCGATTATCTCACCGTCGACAGCAAGGGCAACTTCCTCTACACCAACTTCTCTGAGAGCAAGATGTTATCGGTCGATTGCCATGGCAATGAGGTCTTCTGCAAGGATACGGTGGGGGAGAGTGGTCAGCCCATCCACCCCTCGGGGGTGTGCTGCGACAGCGCCGGGGACATCTATGTGTCGGCACAGGCTAGCCCCAACATACAGTCTGGTGGGATTCACCACTTTGACCCAGAGGGCAGGTACAAGGGACAGGTCATCCTGGGTCTTTCCAACCCGTTTGGGATCGTCTTCACCCCTGGTGGTCAGTTGGTGGTTGCCGATGGTGTGTCCGTGAAGATATTTCACAGTGCCTGAAACCTGGCGGACTTTCAACGGTGGACTGGTGGAACTTATGCCTCAGCAAAGCTACTTGTGTAGTGGTAGACTTACTATACTCTTAAATATTGGCTTAGCTTACAAACAGGAATGCAACCTATGCTTCCAAACTCAGCAAGATTTCTATGCAAATGCTGCATGCCAAAACACTCAATGACCCTCACGCTCATGAGTAAAGAAAGTTGTGGTATTAAGCAAAGTCCCTTTGTTTCAGCACGGGTTGGGAGGGGAGAATTCAACCCTTTCTAGATATATCTTTCATTTTTTTAGGAATGGAAAGTGGCAACAGTTTTGAAACTGTGATTTACTGTGATATGAGGATTCTTTTATGTATAAAAACATTGGACATTGTCTTTTAAAAAAAATCTGCATCCCCCCAACAAAAAACACCCCTGGATATACCACAGGCAAGGTCATCACATTATTCTCTTCACGAACTTTCTGATCTGGACACACAGAAATGTAATGGTCTACCAACCTTGACTATGTCACAGCCGACATGTTTCTTCAGTGAAGCCATCACCTGCTCAGCTGAGGTTGAATGGCTCCACACCTGCACACAAACTTCAATCTCAGTCTCAAGATGGTTGTGTTTCAAACCTTTCCAAAGTACATGTACACCAAGGAAGTATATGCCAAATTTTACACTGTGACGGATCAGGATATTCATAGGAGGTAGCGAGCATTAGAGTGAAGTGAAACGTTCTCGAAAATTGAACAAATGAACTTGACACTGTCTTGCTAATTAGACAAACCTGAAATGGGGTAAAATTATGAGCCATTGCAGTGCACTGGTGAACTCTGAAAGTGAAGTGAATAGTCTTCAAGTGCTATTTGTCTTGTTCCTATTGGACATTAAATTGCAAAATTATCCGTTGTACAAGTTGGAATTGTTTTGATAACCTAACATTAATACATTGAGGAAAGCTTTTTTCTAGAAGTGAAGCGGATGATTTTCACACTTTTTTTCTTCACAGGTTGAATTCTAAATAAAACAAAGAAAAAACAGCAAATGGGAACAACAGTACATGTATAACTGAAGCGTACAATTGGGAAAAGTATCCCAATTGAGATTTGACAGGTTTCTCCGTGAAGCCCTATGCCTAGTTCCATCTGAATTTGGGCAAGAATCTGTACCAACAAATTAGGAAGTACCACAACAAAGGAATAACTCAGTTGGTGAGGCACCAGAATGGTGTGCCGGAGGTCGCAGGTTCAAATCCTTCTGTCAATTTTCTTGTTAATCGATATGATCTTCTCTTAGGCACATGGACAGTTTCCCCTGTATGATCAGAGGATTCGAGTCAAGAACACATTGAGCTTTCAAGTTGTGATCTTACGTACCCTGTTGACGAGGACCGCACTCTTCCACTGTTCCTCCCGTGCCTGCGCCAGCAGCATCTGATGGAAGGTCAGGTGACGGCCCTCCTCCAGGTGAGCATGTCTGCGGAATGCCCTCCTGGGGGTGCCGCCTCCCTGAGTCACGGCCACGTAGCGGTGGATGGTGAAGAGTTGATTCTTGGACTTCTCACCAAGTTAAATCAGACAAAACGAAAAGAAGAAATAAACAGCTGTTTTCATCCTGCCGAGCTACGAACTGGAACAGCCTCAAATATCAAAATGAAGGCCCACTATATCAGACATTCTGCCATAATTTAATTCATGAATTTCTTTATCAGTAGCAAAGTTCAATCCAAGTATTTATAAAAAACAGGTACTACATTTCAAAACTAACAGTGAGTGATCAATTACAAAAACTGTCGTTTACAGTTTCATATGAATAGCTCATGGCATCTATTAGGTCTCAGGAACTAGTATTGTAAATATAAAGACATGAGAATGCTAATTGTGAAACCATTGGGAGTACTTGACCAGTACTTGACTGCAACACTGCTCAATGAAAATGGAAGAAAGTAATTGGGATCAAAGCGTCAGGCTTTCTACCTGTTAGCAATGTCAAAGTGATTATGGGAGGTAAAGTGGGGCACTCTAAGAGAGCCCTCCCTCAACAAATTGTCCAAGGTACAACTACGTAGTTTCCCTTGTTTTTTCATCAGGTTGAAACTTTCACAGGAAATGTAGAATTTGCTGTGTGATTTTTTTAATGAACACGGGCAAGAGAAATTTATCTACACCAGAGTTGTATTCAAGTCCATCGCAAGTCCCTGTAAGTCTATCACAAGTCATTCAGTCTTGGGCCAATTCACAAGCTAGTCAAATTC